CCTGGCAACATTCAAAGTGAGAAAGGAAGGAAATAAGATCAAATGATTGTCAGATACATTTTCTAACACTTGAGTATGTTCTATATGGAGCTGTCAAATTCCTTTGAGGAAGTGATAGTAGGTTCTTCTTTCCTCATGCCACCATTTTTCACTTTTTAAAAAACCTTAAATTAGTTTTCAAACATCAATACTCTCTAGTCCTCTGTCCTTCTGCAACTTCTTCTTTTTAGTCTCTTTGAGATTGGTCATTTCCACACAAAATATTTCAGAAATAATAGGAATGGGAAGGGAATACATATAATCCCCCCAAACATTGAGAACTCCCCCTCCACTTCAACTGACACAGCTTTCCTGAAATTCTGCAACTTTGATACTTAGGACCATCTCTAGGCTATTTATTATTTTCACAGCAATGGTCTACAAGGAACAGGGGGCATTAAATGTCCTTTTAAAGATAATATGCAGAAGAAAAGGTTGCTCCTATGAAAAATCCCTTGCGCCTATTTATACCTCGGGTGATGCAGTAGTTTGAGCACTGGACCACAATTCTGGAGACCAGGGTTGGAATCCACATTTGGCTATGAAATTCACTAGTACTCCCCCAGCCTCAGAAGAAAATAATGGCAAACCTCCTTGGATAACCCTTGCTTAGAAAACACTGTGAAAAGTTTACTTTAGGAAATAGTTTGAAGGCACATAGGAACAACAATTAAATCCAGGAAGACGGCATAACTGAACAAGGAACGACAATGGAATGTGAGAACGGAATCTGATTCTATGTGAGGCGTTGATGTCTATATGTGTGTCGTTTGTGTATGTTTGTCTTTACATTGTTAGTGTGCACAACTTTTACTGTAAACAGCATTGAGTCGCCGGTCACGGCTGATAAATGCGGTATACAAATAGCGTAAATAAATAAATAAATAAATAAACAACAGTGAGGCAATTAAGCTGAAGTATTGGTACTTCTGAAAGTGTGGGTTTTTTTCTGCTGGGAATGGAGATTATCTTGATCTAAGTTAACTCCTCCTAGATCAGGAGTGAGAACCAATGTGATGTAGTGGTTTGAGTACTGCATTATGGCTCTGGAGATCAAGATCACCATCATTCGGATATGACTTGAAGGAGCACAACAAACAAAAAAACAAACAAACAAACAAAATCAGTAGATCCTCCAGCAGGATAAGTATTACTACTTTTGTATTTCCCATAATCTAAACAGGAAACATAAACTCTGATGTCAAAAATCCCTTGTGGCTCTCAGTGGTTAGCTCAATGAAATTTGCTACAAACTGAAGTGGTTAGCTCAATGAAAAATAGACCAGAGTGGAGATCCAACTCTCTTTTATTTCTCTCTCCACAGAAGAAAGATGCTAGGGAGTATTTTTCAAAGCTAGCATAAAGAAGCTAGCTATTTATACATTTTCTTATGCAAATTTACACAATGGTCACTACTTGAATCTACATAACACTGCACTATTGCTAAGAGCTCATGGATCTTTGCACATGTGTATTAGTCCTCACATCCCCTCATAATTAATAGGAGGGACATTGCCATATTAACTCCACAGATTTCCAGATAAGTCTCTGGGGCCGGATCCAGACAGGCCCTTGTCCCCGAAGCACCTGTGTTTAAAAAATGCAGATGTTTCTGGAGGCCTGTCCATACCTTGTCCACATGTTCTCTCGGGACTAGCCCGAGAGAACGTGTGAAGGCCCTTCCCACTCCCCCCAAATACCCAGAAAACAAAGAAAAACATATGTGCCCTCCATTAGAAGCCCTGGCAAGCTCTCCCAGCATGTAGAAATGATGCGCCAGGAGAGCGGAGGGGGGAGCGATTTTCCTCCCTCCCCCCTCCCTGCTCTCCTGTCATGTTATTTATACATGCCAGGAGAGCTTGCCAGGGCTTCTAATGGAGGGCACATACGTTTTTCTTCAATTTCTAAGGGGTCTTGGGTTTTGAGAGGAGGGGGTGGGTGGGCATTCCCACAGTTTACCGGGCTTATTTCGTCCACTAAACTGTGGGAATACTGTGTGGATTGCAGTATGCTGCAGTCCAGACTCGGAAATAGTGCATTCATCCTGCGCCTTCCAAGAAGGCACAGAATAAATGCACTATCAAATTAATTTGCAACAAACCAGAGTTTTCCTAGTTTGTAGCAAATTAATGCGGGACTGTCCAGAACGTTGTTAGGACAGCCCCTCCTTTATTGCAGGAGTTCCCACAATAAAAGCCCTGTCTGGGTTAGGACTGAGTTTGAAGCAGACTTGTCCTGAATCAGTTCAAGCAACAACTGATTAAACTGAAGTGAGGTTGAAACTGAGTCCCCTTCCACACAGCTAAATAAAATCCCTCATTTTCTACTTTGAACGGGAATATATGACAGTGTGGACTCAAATAACCCAGTTCAAAGCAGATATTGTGGGGTTTTCTGCCTTGATATTCTGGGTTATATGGCTGTGTGGAAGGGCCCTGAATTTGAGTATCCTTGCACATTCCAAGCCTTGATCTCTGTCCCATAATTTCCTATGTTTCCCAAAGTCCTGGTCTCAAAGGGTCCTACTAACAAGAATATGCATGAAGATTTATTCTCAGTGAAAAATGAAATCTGTTATAAAGTGGAAGGGGGCGATACTAAGGGCAGTACCCCTCCCACGGAGCCACCCAAGCATTATGGCCCCCTGGTGATTAGAAGCTGGGCACTTTTCTTTTCTTTTAAAAAGGCGAGTCCTGGGCCTCAGTCATTCTAATTAGAAGGCAAGGAGCCCAATTGCTCTCACTGCTTAAACATTTCCACATGCGGAGTTGAAGCTTGCAGGGGATCTGGAAAAAGTTTTATATATGTATTATACATATAAAATGCACACACATACAAATGTCTCTGTCAAGGCTGGCTGGGGAGTTTGCAACTTTGCTTGGAACTTGATAAAACAACAGTAGCTATGATAGCAAAGGACTTGGGTTTTAATGCTTTGGATGGAATTATCCCCAGCCACCAGGGATGATGATCAGGAATTGATGGGAGCCCAGAAATGTAAACAGAAAGTGGGGTCTATCTCTACCATGTCTGCCAGGAAACACTGGACTCAAATACATAAGGTTATCCAATATTTTGGGGAAGATATCCAGTCAAAACCAGAGACTATTCTATTTTCTCTGTCTGATATAAATGACTATGATAGACTGCTGCAATATATTATCACAGTAGCCAGATTTCTCTGTATGCAGAAATTGAAGAATTCAGCAGCACCAACAATGGACGATTGGATGATGGCATTGGCGGAGATGGACAAATTAACCTGTTTACTAAAAGAAGGGACACTGGGGGGGGGGGGGGGTTGAAAAACTGGAAACCTTTTATTCACTTTTTGCATGAGGAAGAGAAGGATTTGACCATTTTGAGTTTTGAAGACTAATGGGGGGTGTTCTTTTTTGAGAAAGAAGTCAACATTGGGAGGTCTAGGGGGTGAAGCTTATGTTGTTCCTTTTGGCTAGATGAGGATAGATGGGAGGTAATCTACTTTTTCTTTTCTTTCTTTTTTATTTTTGGCCTTTGTGTTTCTACTCTATATTTCTTTTTTTGATTCTTTTTTTTTACTTTTAATGTAACTAAAAAAATAAAGTTTAAACATTTTAAAAACAAATTGCAGGGAGTTCTAGTCTAACAGCATTTGGGTGCCAAAGGTTGCAAAGGACAGTTTATGTAATCCTGGTTAGAGTGACCAGAGGGCAAAGCCATGACACAAGCAGCCTTTCCCCTTTAGATGTTTTCCCCCATGGAGTGCCCCCCCCACCCTGAATTTGTGGTTTTGATGCCATCTTGTGGTTGTTCTGTTGACTTTTCAAAGGCTAAAAGTGGAAACAAGTTATGACTCTCAAATTCCTTTAAATAATTATCTGCCTTCACCAACTCCCATTCATATACAGCTCTATAGCGGCTGGCTGTGTCTCAGACACTGTTCCACTATTTGGACAGAATGAATAGCTTTCTTCATCTCAGCGATGGATCCACGTTGACCCTGAAATTCACAGATTTCCCTCCTCTACCCAAAGGAACCCCAGGAGCTCATTACGAAATGACATGACAATGGCTTTTTCCAAACCCTGTGAAGACAAGGGAACCCTTTATAACCAGAGTTGGAATTAGATCCAAATAATAAATGTGATTAAGCCTCAGAACATGAGCAAAGAAAATTTTCTCCTAACCACAAACCTGCCTTCACACATCTAGGATTAAGAGGTAGGGCTTCTATATGAGAGGATGTGATTTTTGGAGGCAGGAATAAACCCCCGCATCTTCTTTTAGAAATTAAACACCCCTAGCAAGGAAACCAATATATACACAAAATAGTTGTTTTTCAGAGCCCCAGTATATGAACTCAGCTGAACTAGTGTGCTTCTTGCAAAGAGTCCTGTCCTAGCATGCTGCTGATCTTTATAATTTTGAGCATGCTGGTGAAATAGAGCAATTTAAAATGGCTGCAGACAGTGAGATGCAAGCCATGGATACCGGAACCTGAGCTGTGGTTACCGAGACCTGATATGTGGCAACCAGTACCTGTGTCAGGCCTTCCTGTAGGTTCATGCACATGGTGAGCAAAGAAGCCCAATATTCCAAGTTGAAGAAGAAACCACCAAAGTAGTTTATTAAATCAGCTGAAGTGATACCAACCTGTGGTAATCTGCCAAAATAAGATGAGATACCATACCGTACAAAGCATGCATTTTTATATAGTAAAATTCTTTGAATTACCCATGCCTCCCCAGATGAAGATGGCTTCACAATGATTGGCTAGTCCTAGTTGACATCACGACTAGCTGGACAGGGATTCCCTTGTGGGGTAAGACTGCGGAACCTGCCAGCCAATGGGAAAGCGTCCCCTGCTCTTGATGTAGATTCCTGCTCTCCAATAGCTGACAAGGGGCCGGCAGGTCCAGAAGACAAAGATGTTGAAATGAGTTATGAATTGATTATCAAGTACCACCAAAAGACAAACAAAGGGACCAAGTCTTTTATTGTTAAGTTGATTGCAATCTGAGTCCCCACTGAATGGATGCAACGCTTCTGGTGCTGATGTCCATAAAGTCCAAGAGCAGAAACACTGTCCATCCTGATGGGATTAAGTGGCAAGTTCCTGGGAAAGAGGAAATCATATTGTGTGACAATGGGGCATGACCCCCTGGGTGATGAGTGGATTATATGTCCAGATGACAGGGACAAAAGACAGGCGACCCAGCAGATGGATTCTGTTGTCATTTGCCCAGTTGGGGGGCTATGGGACCAGTAGAGATGGACTGGTCCAAAGATTGATTCCTGTTACATGTAGATGAAGCTCAGGAAGACAGCTGGCTGGCCCTCCCGGGTCAGTAGGTGAGGGCAAAAGGTCATCACAAAACTTGGTCGGTGGCAAACTTCTCCAAAGGATTTTTTTTACAGTAAAATATAAAACACGACAGGTTTAAACATACATGAGGGTCCATGAATATCGAGGAAACCCAGCAAATAGGTAGTTTAGATTGATATCCATGGGAAATGGGGAAAAACATACACCTGAGATCTGTGGATACGGGGGGGGGACTCCAACAGGTTTCAGTATCCACGGGGATTGGAGTCGATGCTGAATTATGGGGCTTGGAGTAAGATGTGTGCAGAGAGATAATGAGATAGGGTAGGATATACAAAAAAGAGAAAAAAGAAGTTCCGTGGACTTGGGGCTTCTTTTGGGGGAACCAGGGCACCCACGGAGGTGGAGGGTTGGCGACAGGGACTGCAGAGGCGAGAAGGAGACATAGAATATAGATCCATGGATACTTGGGGCGAAAAAGCAGGTTTTGGTATCTGTGGAATGAGAAGGGCATTCCCAGGGTTATTGGAGCATGGGTTAGGCGGGTGCAGGGTACATGCAAGGGGAAATGAGAAGAAAAGTACTGTTCTCTAGGATAGATAAGCCATGCGGGCCAGAGGCAGAATGCGGAAATGGAGAGAAAAGACACCAGAGAGCAAAAGAGGAGGCAAGGAAGCAAAAGTTAATTTAGGAACCTTTTATTTAGGAACTGAAAACTATATATGGAGGATCAATGAGCCTCCTGTATGCTGGTAGCTGCTGCTGGATTCCTACAGACCGCTGGATGTCTACATATGTATATCTTTTAAATTCAAAGGACACTCACCACTTGCGGAACTCCCCACTGCCAACTGTACCAATATAATATCCTCCTCCCCCCCCCCCCCCCCCCCCCCCCCCCGGCCACTGCCAGGGGGGTTTCTGTTTTCCACAACACTGGCACAGGCTTAACTCAATAAAGCCAGGCAAGCAAAAATTATTGGTGAGACTACTTTTGATAACAGTAATGTTCAAGCTAACACACTTTGGGTTTACGACAGGGAATTTCCAACATCACTATGAACTCTCCAGCCAAGATAGGGCTGGCCAGTATGAAGACTCCTGCCTATTTTTGTGCTGTGGACATATGTGCTACCGCTGATACCATGGAGTTTATCAGTCTTTGTGAAAAGCCAGCAGTGAATTTTGGGACCTTTTTAATTTTGTAAAAGAAATGCGGAATAGCCTCATTTTCAGAGGAAGTGCAAGTGGTGGGAGAGGAAAACTGTCCTGCAGATATCACACAGAGAGTCTATGCAGCAATTAGAGACTCTAATGAAGGAGCAAAGACATGAGTGGCTTAGAGAAGAAAATTAAAGGTTTTGTTATAGAAATCCTATTCTCAACGAGGAATATTACTCAGGGAACTAATCTAGCTTCATTTTAAGAGAGAACTGAGAGAGAACCGACAGAAAGAGAAGACGTGGGAAAATATCATAAGTAGACAAGAATGAGGGACATTGTGGGCCACTCAGGCTATCTCATCCTATTACAACAATTTCCTTGATAACTGGCCCCAGCTAGGATCTAAAATCTTGGCCACACACTTTTCTATTGCTGTACCCAAAGTTAGAATGACCTTGTTATATTGCTCTTATCCTTAATGCTGCTACATGACCTATGCACTTTATTCACTAGCCCTAACCTTTGAATTGTTATGCTTCAGTCTGCCCACCTATATTGAATTATCCTGTTGTTGTTGGTTTTTGATGCTTGTTTTATATTTGTTATAATGTCGTTTACTTTGTTTTAAATTGATGTTATGCATTCTAATGTGCTACGTTTCTAACTCTGTTGATTGGGCTTGGCCCCATGTAAGCCGCCCCAAGTCCCTTGGAGATGGAGGCGGGGTATAAAAATAAAGTTGTTGTTGTTGTTGTTGTTGTTGTTAATTTACTGCCCTCTCTGAGGCATTCTCCAATATAATAGCAATATTGGAAATTTCCAAACCAACACTCATAAGGCAGGTTTTTTATATACCCAGAAGACAGTAAACATTCACTGTGAGGCCAAATTTTAGTGACTTGGAAGGCTCAGACTCTATCTCTCTGCCATCACATACCAGGCATGCAAAATGTGTCAAGTGGTCCTTTTCTGGATCCAGCCATCAGCTACAGGGAAGGAGACACTTTTTTCTGAAAAGAAAGGCAAGCGATTGTTGTGGTCATTCACACCAATAATCCTTCCTATGATTTTTATTCTTTTTCCTATCTGATGTACCACAGCTATAACCGATGGGGTTTATATCCAACACGGTCTCAACAAACAAAAGTTGCCCTCATTCAGTTAAGGACGTCTACATAATACATACAGCTAGGTTTTTGTCAAGCCAGTTTTCCTTCAGTGAAAGTAAAACCTATTTCCAGGCTGAATGATCCAACTGGTTTCTGTTACAGAGAATGGGAAAAGAGGACTGAATTGTCAGCTTCCAAACAGGCCCAGTGTCATCTTCAACAAGCACGTGCAGCTTGAGCTTATGATGAGTCCTGTTTCAATCCTAAATGGCTAAGCTTTCCCATAAAAATTTAAAGCAGACATGGATTTCTTGGTGGTAGAGACCAGCAAGCAGGAATGAAGATTCTATTGGAAGAAATGAAGATGTCATACCTTCATTGAGGGCACGGCATATGCCTTCTCTTGGCAATACAGCCTCCAGCATAGATGAGGACTTTGTCACTTTGATGGTGATCAATTTTTTGGTCAAGGTGAAATTCAGCTTGCTTCCTAAGTAGCATACCCCAGTGATCTTTAACTCCTCCATATTATCAGGACAAACAGGGTCAAAGTACAGATGCCTCTTTGTGATCCTGGAATAGATCGAAATGAGACACAGTACAAAATCCTATAAATTATTACAGATCATAACAAATGAAGCTGTAAGTAAAAAAAAACATGAAACAAATTAAAGGCACTTGCCACACAGTATCTTGACAGCTACCATATATTGATTTGTTTGTGTTCAACATTTGTATCCTACTATTCCTCCAATTAGTCTAAACACAACAACAAAAACAACAACACTTTATTTATATCCAGGGGCGGCTCGTCCATTACACGAAGTAAGCGGTCGCAGAACACTTTTTTTGCCAGGAGCGCAGAGGCGCTTCTGTAAATACCCCTTGACTGCCACTTGAGGAGCGCCCCCTCAGCTCACAACAGCCCTAGCAGTCCGGGGGGAGCCTTGGCTTTCTTGCCTCGCTGCTGGGCGATCCTCTTCCCAAAGGGGCCGGGCCCTTGAGCCTCGCCTAGCCCCTCTTGTTCCTGCTCCACCCGGCCACCGGGTGCACGAGCAGAGCCGGCACTCAATCGTTCTCCGCATTCGATCCCTTCCCCATGACCGGCTCCCTTTCCTGATCCCCAGCGCTCCACCCGCCTCCTCTCCTCTCCCCAATCCGCGGGCCCGCCTCCTCTCCTCTCCCCGCCTGGCCCGCTTCGGGTCCGGAGGCGTGTCTGAAGACCCCAGCGTGCGCACCAAAAGTCGCCTCTTCTCCTGACTTTCTCTTCAGCCATTGGGACCAAGAGAGAGAGAGAGAGAGAGAGAGCCCCTCCGGCTGAAGGTATCTCCCACCTCTGCTCCCTCCTTTGTTTTTGCGCCTACCTTCAGGAAAGGTGGGCATCTCCACCTCCGTCTCTCTCTCTCTCTCTGTCCCAATGGCTGAGGAGAAAGTCAGGAGAAGAGGTGACTTTTGGTGCACACGCCGGGGTCTTCAGGCACGCCTCTGGACCCAAAGCGGGCCAGGCAAGGGAGCAAATGCGGCAAGTGTAGTTACTGGGATGTATAGTTCACCTACAATCAAAGAGCATTCTGAACTCTACCAATGATGGAATTGAACCAAATATGGCACACAGAACTCCCACGACAAACAGAAAATATATATCAATGATTGGTTGGGGGGGGGGGGGCGCCAAAATACTGTTTGCTTACCGTTAAAAATTACCCAGGGCCGCCTCTGTTTATATCTCACCCCATCTCCCTGTGGGGACTCAAGGGATATTTGGGATTGTAATCCTAAAGTCTACATTTTTGCGGGCCCTGAATGTTACCATGGAAAAATAACTATAAGGGATCTTCCCCAATAAGGACAGGAAAGTATTCATCTATAGACCTAAACAACACACTGTGCTGAAGGCAAGTTAAAATAACCTTTATTCACATAAGTGTTCACAGGCCTAATCTGAATCAGAACCACTGTATCTGACCAGGAGAGGTTTATGCCTCTCCATAGCTGCTTTTTAAAAAAATGTCAAACACCCCTTTCTCTATTAGTAGTTAAAAACAGAGAAAAAAGTGTTCCATTTGGCACCAATGAAGAGGTTTTATTTTAGTCTCCATATTTTTGCCAGGGAAGGTGAAAGGAATTCTGAGATTAAAAAAAAAAACAAGCTGTGGAAGGAAGCCTCCCATCTGCATGCAACAGTCCTGATATGAACTGGGGGCACACAAATTTGAGAGCAAACATAAAAGTGCTCTTATGCAGTAAGCTACATAACAGTTAGCACAATGTGTAGTTTAGTCCCCGCTGTGGGAAGTCAAGACCGGACAATTAAAGCCAGTTCTTACCAGTTGCAAGGGCCAGGAAAAGTCTGTGTTTACATCAGAATCAGCCAACCCAAATGGATGGGAGATATTAAAAGCATAATTACAACCATCTGGCAAATGCCCCAGCATAGCTACAACATATGTGCTAGTTTGTCAATACTGCCTCTAAAAATATTCATCTGTTATGACAACTACCTCCTGGGTTTCTAATATATGTATAAATGCATAAGCATAATAGTTATTTGGCATTAATGCTGGAGCATTCTGGGCACAGCTGAAAAAATAAACAAGGAAGTCAGACCCAGTTTCCCCACCTACTCACGCATCACAATGAAGGGCTCTTTGCACTGGATTTATTTTAAGATGCTTTAGTTGTTTTCGGATCTACTTCCTTTGCTACAGGGATGTCAGTAGTGTTAATTTTACTTGTGGTGTCAGAGGCTCAATGCCCCTCCAGTATTGACTCAGCTGTTGAGGACAAACGTGGTAGCTTTAACTGTGCTCCCCAAATATCAAGATTGCAAACAAATGAGAGACCATCATAGAGGAAACAGAACTCCATTCTAACTTTGGCCAGCTGAAACCAAACCTACACCAGTCCAGAGACAATAGTTCTTCCCTATAATGCCTTTTCACAGGCATATTTTTGGTCCTAGTCTAAAATGTAGGTGATTCAATCATGACATTTTGTTCAGGATGCAAATCATACTGGAAAAAAAACAGGATTACAAACCCAGAGATTAAACAATTTCCTTTTTAGGATTACAACATCTCAAATCCCCTGACACGTTGCCAAAGATAGGTTCAGAAAAAGGAAGAGGCACTAAGGCTCATATTACAAACATGCATTAGATAATGGAATGCAACAAAAAAAATTCAGGAGAGGGCAATGAGTTTGTGCTTTATAGTCTAGCAAAGCCTTTGATTGTGTAGATCATTAAAATTATAGGTGGCTATAAAAGAAATGGGTGCGACACAACATTTTGTTTCCTGATGTACAATCTATACATGGGACAAGAGGCCACCACCATGTGAAAATATGAAGGAATAAAATAACACTGGCAGGGGGCTGGTCAAGGCTGCACTTTATCACTCTGCCTGTTTACTGAAGCTATAATATGTAAACCTGGATTAGATTGAGGACCTCTTCACGCATGCGGTAAAAGTATTGCTGCAGATTGCAGTGATTTTGGCGGTGCCCACCAAGGGGGCATGGGAATCTGTTGCCCCACATTATCCTGGATACCCTCATCACGCAGTGGGAAGTCTCAATTAGCCGGCTCAACCCATCTTTCCCCATAGAAAGACAGGAAGCCTCCCAACATGCACCATCAGCTCATTTTTGGGGTTGGCAGGGATTTTTGGCACTTTTGCCACTGAAGTACTTTCCCCATGTGTGATGGGAGCTGGCAGGCTTTGTGGACAAAGTGTAAAAAAATACTGCTGATTTTTAGCCCATGTGAAGAGGTCCGTAGAGCAAGGTGGCATGAAAATTGGAGGAAGGAGCACCAGCAATTTGAGATATTCAGATAATACCATGATACTAGCTGAAAATAGCAAAAACCTGAAATTACTATTGAGGACATATTCAAGGAAAAAAGTATTAAAGCAGGCTTGCTGTTAGCATTAAGATATAAACATTACAACCACAGATGAATTACAGTTTTCATAGAATCATAGATTGATAGAGTTGGAAGAGACTACATGGGCCATCTAGTCCAACCCCCTGCCATGCAGGAAAAGCACAATCAAAGTACCCCTGACAGATGGCCACCCAGCCTCTGTTTAAAAGATTCCAAGGAAAGAACTTCCACCACACTCCAAGACAGAGAGTTCCACTGCTGAACAGCTCTTACAGCCAGAAAGTTCTTCCTAATGTTCAGGTGGAATCTCCTTTCTTGTAATTTGAAACCATTGCTCCAAGTCCTAGTTTTCAGGGCAGTAGAAAACAAGCCTGCTCTCTCTTCCTTATGACATGCTTTCACATATTTATACATGGCTAACATGTCTCCTCTCAACCTTCTCTTCTGCAGGCTAAACATGACTAGTTCTTTAAGCCACTCCTCATAGGGCCTGGTCTCCAGACCTTTGATCATTGTAACTGCCCTCCTCTGAAGATATTACAGCTTGTCAATATCTCTTTTAAACAGTGCGCAGAACTGGGCACAGTATTTCAGGTGAGATCCGACCAAAACAAAATAGAGAGGCACAATGACTTCCCTCGATCTAGATACTATACTCCTTTTGATGCAGCCCAAAATCCCATTGGCTTTTTTAGTTGCTGTACCACACTGTTGGCTCATGTTCAATTTGTTGTTCGCTAAGACTCCAAAATCTTTTTCACACGTACTGGTGTCGAGCCAGGAATCACCCATTCTATATTTTGCATTTAATTTGTTCTGCCTAAGTGTAGTATCTTACATTTGTCCTTGTTGAAATTAATTATGTTAGCTTTGGTTCAGCTCTCCAATCTGTTAAGGTCATTTTGAATTCTGATTCTGTCCTCTGGAATATTAGCTATCCCTCCTAATTTTGTGTCATTTGCAAATTTATGCCCTCTAAAGTCTAAGTTATTAATGAAGATGTTAAACAGTACTGGGCCCAGAACGGAATCCTGCAGCACTCCTCTAGTCACTTCTTTCCAAGATGGAGATGAACCATTGGTGAATACCCTCTGGGTTCTGTCACTTAACCAATTACAGATCCACCTAATAGTCCCATTGCCTAACCTACATTTGATTAGTTTGCTTGAAAGAAGATCATGGGGGACTCTGTCAAAGGCCTTACTGAACTCAAGGTATACAACATCCACAACATTCCCTGCATCTACCAAGCTTGTAATTAAAGTGGGTTGTGAAGACATTCAAATAAAGAAAGACTTTCTATACTGGGCCTAATTTCTAAATCAAAATTTAGATAGTACTCAAGGATTCACAAGAAGAATTTTGGAAGGGCTGTTATGAAGGAACTAGATAAGATACTCAAGGGTAAAGATACATTATTTAATACCAAAGTAAGGGGTATCCATGTGTAATAGATCTAACCTTTTGCCAGGAAGGCCGAAGCCTGGAAAGTCAGTAGCTGACATGTTGAGAGATAGGCAGGAGAGCTAAGAGGCAAGAGGGAGGAGTCAACCGGCTCCTGATTGGCTAGAGCAGTCAGAGGAGGAGTTAGCTTTGAGAGGGAAAAAAGGCTGTCTTATTTGACAAGCTTGAGAGTTGAGCTTTAAACATCGTAGAGTGAAGAAGTATTTTAGGGAGAAGGAGCTGAGAGGAATTTAGACAGGGAGAACTTTTGAAGTGAGCCTTGTAGTTAGAGCATAGGAAAGGCAAAGGTTCCTGAGTCACTGTGCTTAGTAGGGTCAGTGAAGGAAAGCCTATTTTGCTCTGTGAGGCAGTCAGTGGGCTGCGCTCAGGGACACACTGTGTCAGAGTTGGTGAACAGTGTGAAGCAAGGAACTCACAGGAAACAAAAGTTTTAGTCTTAAAAGAAAGACTGCTTGTCTAAACCAGCTAAGCCTCTGAAACGCATTACGCTTTTGTACCACTCTTATGAAGAGTTGATTTGTTCATCAAGTTTTAAATAAACCTGTTTCTATTGTTCATCTTCAAACTGGTATCTGCCTCGGTCTGTAACAATCTTTAGATCTCAGCTAGTTTAAAGACAAACAATTTCGGTCCAGTCAGCGTAAGAAGCAGCCAAAGAAGAAACAAGGGCATGAACAAAACTTTACCTATTTTTCACATTTGCACTCATGTTTTCCTCAGACATATATTGAGGTGGCGGCGGCGAATCTACCTGTTACATCGGTCATTAACAACGTTAATACAGTTGGTCACTTAATAGTAATACTGAGGTGGGATAAGAGAGTCTTTCCCCCTTTGTCACAGCCATTTTATCCTTGTTAAAGTAGTGTCCAGCTGAACGTTAACCCTTCACACTGGTGGGCAGTGTGGTGATTGTTGTCCCACCTGCCCAAGTTGACGTTGATCTTCTTTACATTGGTGGCAGCGGTGGGATTCGAACCCACGCCCCCGAAGAGACTGGAGAGAGGGGAGACCCAGGGATCGTGGTTACCTCTTTAGAAATTGAAAAGTTGAGGCTAGAAATTGAATTTTAAAAGATGCAGCTAGAGGCTGAGAGAGAAAGGGAAAGAGAAAGAAGATGGTGATCTTCTTTACACCATGCCATAGTATTTCTGATTTCTATGAATGTTTTGAAAGCTTGCGTATGATACTACCTTTATGCTAACAAACCAGGAAAATTGCTTGCTAGAAGACTACAGAGAAGAAAGCAACAACAGCACGTCGCCAAGATCACAAAGGACGGCATTAGTTACCACACAGAGGAAAAGATCAGAACCCACTTCAGAGAGTTCTACAGAGAGCTGTACAAAAAAGATGACATCTCTATAGAAGAGGTTACCGAATATCTGGGGGCCCATAAATTAGAGAAACTGTCAGATGATCAGAGACTACACCTCAACAAACCCATTGAAGAGGCAGAGATCGGTAGGGCCATTAGAGACCTCCCTAACAACAAGGCCCCGGGACCGGACGGGATAACGGCTGTCTACTACAAAAGATTTCAAGAACTGTTGATGCCGATACTGAAGGAAATCTACAATAACATCTTAACACAAGCAAAGATGCCGGAGTCCTGGCAGGAAGCGACGATCACCTTAATCCACAAAGAAGACACAGAGGAGGACAATGTCAAAAACTACAGACCCATCTCCCTCCTGAACAATGACTATAAAATCTTCACGAGGATTATAGCCAACAGAGTAAAAACATTTCTCAATGACACGATTCACGAAGATCAAACAGGGTTTCTTCCTAAAAGGCAAATGGGCGAAAACATCAGAACGGTACTCAATATAATAGAGTACTATGAGGCCAACCCCCAAAAAGAGCTCGGACTGTTATTCTTGGACGCAGAAAAAGCGTTTGACCGGGTCAACTGGGACTTCATGCTCCAACTCGCAAGAGAGAAGGATATGGGATTCCAGTTTAGCAACACACTGAAAACGATTTACTCAAAGCAGAGCGCTAGGATAAGGATTAATGGTCAACAAACGGAGAAGATAACAGTGGAGAAAGGTACTAGACAGGGCTGCCCCCTGTCCCCGTTGCTATTCATTATGACTCTGGAGATCCTCCTAGCCGACATCAGGAGGGACAAAGACCTCAGAGGAACTAAGGTCAGGAAGGATGAATTCAAGTTAAAAGCCTATGCCGATGACATTGTGTGTATAATAGAAAATCCAATTGAAACAACCCAGAAATGGATGGATAAGAAGGTCTCGGGATTCAGAGTCAACAAGACAAAGGTCTCGGGATTCAGAGTCAACAAGACAAAGACAAAAATCCTAACTAAAAACATGGATAAAGCTAAGAAGACCAGTCTAGAGAACACCACAAAGCTCAGGGTGACCAACAAGATAAGATACCTGGGGATCTACCTAACCTCTAGTAACTCACAATTGATTAAGAACAACTTCGAGCCAACATGGCGAGAAATGCGTAAAAAGATGGAAGGCTGGAGGCAGTTAAATCTAAGCCTCCTGGGCAGAATTGCCCTCATAAAGATGAACCTTCTCCCCAGAATGATGTTCCTATTTCAGACGATCCCTGTGATTAGAACTAATCACCTATTCACCCAATGGAAAAAAGACATGATGAAATTCGTCTGGTGTGGAAAAAAGGCAAGAATCAAATACAAAATAATGATAGATGCACGGGAAAGAGGGGGCTTTGGCCTACCCAGCCTACAATCATACTATGAGGCCTGTGCCCTCTCATGGGTCAAGGAATGGTCAACTTTAAAAAAGAAGAAGCTTCTCAACCTTGAAGGCTTCGACATCAGGAGAGGCTGGCACGGGTATTTGTGGCACGGCAAGGCTAAAATTGAAAAAAATTTCACAAACCATTTTATAAGAGCTGCCCTGCTGAAAGTTTGGGAGAAACATAAGGGGAAATTCTACAGCAAAACGCCTCTTTGGCTATCCCCCATTGAAGCCACACAAAAAAGGGAGATACCAAGTGAGAAGTGGCACACCTACCAAACATTATTGGAGAAAAGGGAAGGCCAATGGAAAATGAAATCCTTGGACTCACTGAGAGAAATCGACGAGAAGCTCTCCTGGTTTCAGTACATGCAAATAACCAACTGCTTCAAGGAAGATAAAAAGAAAGACTTCTCTTTGCAGGAATTGATGTGGGATATAGTAATGGGGAAGGAGAAAAAAGTGATTAGAGCTCTGTACGGGAAGCTCCTAGAATGGGAAACGGAACTGGAAGTTGTAAAGGAGAACATGACCAGCTGGGCGGCCGACTTGGGGCACTCCATTCTCCTTAGTGAGTGGGAGGTTGTGTGGAAGGAAAAACTAAAATTTGCAAAATCAGCCAACATACTAGAGAACTGGCAAAAAGTCTTTCACCGGTGGTATCTCACACCTCAGAAGATGGCAAAATTTCAAAAAGGAGCAAGCAGCGATTGCTGGAAGTGTGGCGGGGAACTTGGCTCCCACTACCACGCATGGTGGCAGTGTAAAAGAGTCAGGATCTACTGGCGGGAGGTACATAGGGAAGTGCAGAGGATCTTGCAGATAAAAATAGAATTTAAAGCAGAGTATTTTCTGTGTTGCGTCTCAGGTTAAGCTTCACCTTGCTCTCTGACAAACCAGCCAAACTTGAGAAGAAAGAAGTTTATTGAAGTTCAAAACAAATCCAAGTAAAAGCAGTAAAAGTTCAATGGTACAAAGTATAGGTCCAAAGTTCTGTTGAATCAAGGCAGGAAACTTGAGGCAAAGAAGCAGGATACAATCCAGGCAATAGCATGAAGTTACAGGAAGCAAACGAACCCCAAGGCCCAAGCCCTAGAGCCAAAGGTACAGCAATCCATATTGCAAAGTTGGATCTGACACTGAATCAGCTTTCAAGCAGTCTTCTTATAGGAAAAACATCAAAACATGAACATTAAACAGAACAGCTAACGAGCAGTTTTCCCACCAGCAGATGGCCTCAAGATTTGGCCGCAATCCGTAAACTTCTCCTTAACACCTGCAGCTCGCGCTGACCTTCACCGAGTGTGTTATCAGCCACATTCCTTTCCCTTGAGAACAAGGGATTCTCTCTAGCTACAGACTGTGGCTGAGAAAACTGAGAAATCTGAAATCCCACATCTGCATCTGTATTCCCATTCTCATCATGCCCACTTGCACTCTCAGTCCCATCATGCCCATCATGCTGTTGCTGAACCACAACATTCTGTTACATTTGTTAGATTTTCAGTTAGATCCTAACCAAGACATGTTGTCGTTTCATTTCTCAGCAGCCGCCAGAATTGTGCTCGCTAGCGCGTGGAAGAGTAAGGAGATACCAAAAATTGATACCTGGCTACTAAAAATCAGTGATCTAATGGAAATGGACACCTTGGCGACTATGACATATGACATTAGCAAGAAACGCAGGATCGATTGGCAACCATTTAGGCGATATCTAAGAGAGAGAAAAAGCATAATTATAAGAGACTAGGGAAGTTGCTTAGATGACATAGAGACTTTATATTTTTCTGTAACCAATATAACTCTGCCGAATCTTTGAGGAAGCTCATTTGTTGTATGTTATTTGTTAATTGACTGATGTCTTTGTAACCGTGTGTATAGATGTTTTACAGCCATACCTCCACCCCTTGAACACTAACTTACCCCCTTCCCCACTCACCTTCCCTCCCCTCTCCCCCCCTCCCACTCCCTTGATTGTCCTTACCGAATGTCTTTTTGTCTTTCTTAATGTAATGTATGCCTTAAAAACAAAATTCTAAATAAAGATCATTTAAAAAAAAAGAAATGTGGTGCTAGAGGAGACTTCTACTGATATCATATAGAAATGGCCAATTGATGTTTTGTGAAATACTTTTTAAAATTTCTCTTCTCTCTGCTAGAAATATGATATATTGTGACAAGTGATGCCTGTTGTGTGCCAGTCCGATCAGTTCTAGTATTTATCTGTATTCAGTGTTCTAATGAATATTTTGGATAGGATCTGCCATCTTCACGATTCCAACAAATACTGGTTTCATAAATCTATATACATTTTGTACCTGAACCCAGTGTATCCAAAAAGAATGGCTTGAAGAAATCCACCCATCCCTGTCAGGAAGTTCACCGCTCCTGAACCATCAGAATTTTCTACCCAGATCTGAGGGAGTTAGACAATAAGGAATTATTAAAAGATGATGTGAGGAAAAGAGGTGTCCGTGATACAAACAATATAAAGGAAAAGTTGGGACAGTGGAGAAAGAGATACTTGCTACCCGCCTGACCTTGAATGGCTCGGTGATGTTGCTGAAGCACTTGTTCAGCTGGTGTTGTGCTCTTTCAGTCTCTTTCAGTTCCAGCCATCCAACAGCAAACATGCTCTGAAAAGAGGTGAAGGAATGGCACTGCTGTCACGGTACCCCATACTAGGAGATGAATCCCTGCAGAGAATCCATTCAAATGCTCTCCACACATCAAAACCCATATGTTTTCCCCTTCTTGCTCATGGTCAGCTCTTTACCCAGGTCATGGCTGGCCCCTGAGGGTCTGTCACAGGTTCGTAAATTTCCAGGTCATTCCTTCTGACTCCTGGGTCCATGGGATACATGACAGGGAATCCAAGCAAGACAACATCAGCCTGTTTCACCGGTTCACCTATGAAAGCGAGGAAAGGAACTAGTGTCTTTGTATTATGTATTGTTTAATTGGGTTATGTTATGTTTGCTTGGTTTGTGAGTGTCTTTTCTCCTTTGTCTCTTTATGTTGTTGTATGTTTTTCTTTCTTTTCTCCTCCATAAAAACATTACCAAAAAGAGAGAAAATATCCAAGAAGTATTGCACAAGAGAAATTTCTTGGCGGTGACTGCTACAAGAAATATCCTTTCATTGCTCAAGGCCAATTTCTCTTGGGTGGCAAGAAAACAGTGTAGAAAGACTGCAATATTTTCAGATTTAAAAGGTCAGGAAGTTTTATGCATAAGCAGTAAAGATTCAGCAGATGCCACATTGTCCTGCTCCTGCAATTGCCCTGCCTAAAAGCAATTAGAAGAAAGCTTCCAACCTGCAAACCAGCTGATGGTAAAGCAATGCTTTTCCTCTTTAATACACTCCTTATAAGGTAGCCAGAGAAGATAAAGTCATATTCCCCATCACATGAACAAAAGAAGATTAAATGGCTACATATTAAAGTTAGCGTAATGAGTGCTTTGCAAGCAAACTCATCGTTAACCAAGGGCGCATCCAGACAGGGCAAAAAATATTTGTGGGGGGCTTCCAGCTGACACCTCATGAAATCGTAAATGCTTTTGGCACAAAGCAGGAAAACTCTGCTTTGTGCCTTGATTATTTGATAGTGGGTTTGATCTGCGCCTTATTGAAAGGTGTGGGTTGAACCTACTATGGACGCTATCTGGACTGCCCCCTCAGAAGTCCTTCACTTGTGAGAGGGCAGTCCAGTCAGCCATCTCATGTTTTTCTGGGCTGAATGAGCCTGCAAAACTGCAAGGGCACCAACCCCCTCCCCAAGCCCCCCCCCAAACCCCTTTAAAAAATAAAAAATTACCTGGCCACCATTACAGTGCTGCTGGCCCTCTCCTGGTGCTTAGGAATGACATGCCAGGAGAAGGGAGGGGAGAGAAGGAAAATCGCTCCTGTCCCCCTCCCCCTTGTTCTCCTGATGCATCATTCCTGAGCACTTGGAGAAGGCCGGCAGCACTGTAATGGCAGCCGGGTACGTTCTTTTATTTTTAAAAGCTTTGGGGGGGGGGTGTCTCCCTGTTCTCTCAGAAGGTAACCGGAGGACATGTAGACAATGCCCACAAAAAGTGTAGGCTTTTGGGGCAGTGGGTGGACTACAGTTTGCCCCAACACGTTTTTCCCCCCGCTGTCTGGAACCACCCCAAGACTGAAACATTCTGGACCCCCAAAGACTTTTGTTATAGAAGCAAGGAAAATAGGCTTGGAGCACATTCTCTAAAAAAAATGTCACAAGCTAACAATCCCATGATTCTAGTATTTATAAAGGGGAAACTAAACCTCTTTTAGGCTCTGCACTCTGTGATCAATTCACTTTGTCACCCACTCTCCACATAATCCTGAAAGTATGGTCCTTTTTGCAGTTTAAAACAATTTTAGAACAGGAATCAAGTGGTGCAGCTGACTGTGTGCCTCTTCTGATCTGAATTCCTTCCACATTTCCTTTTCAGGCACAAGGAAACTACAGCTAAATACCACTTTGGTAGTTTAGAAGCTCGTGTGTTTGTTTATTTGTTTTGCTAGTCTCTGTGTCTCCAGACAGGCCTGTGAAGGATTCATGTCTGAAACCCTAAAGAGACACTGTAGACAACTGTGAGCTAGATGAATCAATCTACCGTCTCACTTGTTGTGTCACAGCTCCTCCCCACCACCCCACACACACACACACACATCAGCCCCCATTATGTTGTGGTTTTATACATAGTGGGGTCTTTTTAAAACAAAATACAAACTGTTCCTGAATGTATAGGTGGTCTTCCTCAGCATGCATTATTCATTTTGGCAAGTTACATATTCACCCACAATAATAATAATAATAATTATTATTATTATTATTATTATTATTATTATTATTATTATTATTATTATTATTATTATTTGTACCCTGCTGCCATCTCCTCAAAGGGACTTGGGGCGGCTCACAGAAGCACTCCAAGTGCCACATGCAGACAATAATGCATAAGTATAAATACAATGACATAAGTATAATCAACAGTGCATAAAAAACTCATTTATAAAATTATAAAAATTATAAAATTCCTAAAATGCAGTAGAACCTGCATTTATAGCTCAATTATATTACTAGAATGAGTTATTGTTGCATCACTGTCATTATATGATTTGACCTCCACTGCGGGTGGCACTAAAAGGACAGGTTGTATTGCCTGCTTTTTTGGCCTACATCCACTCACCTGGGCAGTACCCATCATACTCTGGGTGGTAGTGCCTGTTGTTATCAAAAGGCACTTTAATTTTCTCTCCAACTTCTTTCCACTCTTTAGGGATAGGAATATGCAACTGGGAGGCCAAGTAACTTGCAAAATTCAAACTGGAAAAAGAGCAGAGAAGATGATAGAATCCTTCTTTTTTTAAAAAAAAAAAAAAGTCAGAATTCACAGTAGTTCCACAACAGGTACAACTGCCCCCACAGACCAGTTTTTAAAGGGCTCCTTGTATATTTTTCTCCGGGGCTCACTTAGGATGCTGCAGTAATCAAACATCAGGCTTTGTTTTCATCCCTTTTAAACTATGGTACAGTTTAAGTGCAGTTGCTGACTGTGTGACAGTGATTCCATGCATGTCTCTAAACACAGTTCTGAGCACTAAAATCACTCGTTGTGGCAGACAGGTTTCGTGTGTAGCAACAAGAGCTCAATCAGAATGCATGTGCAAGATGTACTATTTTGCTTGTGTTTCCCTGGGAACAGATGGTTTCCATCTAAATAATATTTTTAACTGCCCACCCACCATTTCCCCAGAGAGCTCCCTTCCAAGTGAGGCTTTTCTCTTGCAATTGCCTCCCTAACAAAATTTTATGGGTGGTCCAAGTGAAATGATACTCTCTTCACAGTGCCCTGCATCCACTCTACATGCACTTGGGAAAAAGGCAAAATAGCTTTACAGTGCTTTTTAAATTGTTGTTAGTAAGAGATTTCCACTTAAGGAGATACAGGGAAAGTGTTGAAAATATCACCTTTTTGGGTTCATCTTTTTTCAAAACAGGATATGTATTTTGCTTTGAGTCTCATTTTGGGAGGAAGACAGAAAAAAATAAACAAATCAGGATTTGCACATTGGCACATAGCAACACAATGTTGGAGTTGTATAACTCTCAGGAAATGCTAGGGAAATTGTCTACTGAAAGTCTACTTCCTTTCCTTGTTGTATCTTATGCTAAATTACATATTTTCCTGAAAACCAGGAGATGAATTCTTCATACCCTGGAAAATCAGCAAACATTTTATGAAAATGCAAGCTTGGTTCTTGTTAGATAAACAGGACAATTCAATCAGCACACTCAGTGCTCAGAAACTCCTCCATCTGGAAGTACCATAATTCAAATATGGGTTTTAAATAGCTCAGTTAAGATGGCTGAGCCAGCAATTTCTCCTCCAAATTAAGGTGAAAAACCAATTCTTAACTGTCAATACCTCAAACCAGGCACTTGCTATCTGAAAGGCTCTGACAGCTGAGAGAAAAAGCAGAAGTCATATTAGAGGGAAAGGGAATTTGTGGCTACTCAACTGGACTGCAACTCCTCAGCTGGACTGCAACTCCCATAATCTACTACAGCTTGTTACATTGGTTAGAACTAATGGGAGCATTGCAAATAGTAGCAAGTGCTCTTTCCTCTTTCACTTAGCCAAGTGCAACAAGGCACGATATTGGATGCTTTTTTTAAGGCAATTAGCTTAACAGCATTTGGAACAGAAAGTGTAGCGGAGTTATTCCATTTTTGATCATCCACATTACAGCTTCCTCCTCCATGTATTTGATTATTCATGGATTGCCTCATCCCCTCCCCCACACCAAATTCTTGTCTTTCCAACAGGAGCCTCCCAGATTTTAAATGTCTTCTAGCTCCTAATCTCAGTAAATGTGGAGGGCTGACTGTACATAAACCAGCCATTCAGAGCTGAACTCAACAACTAATCTTCCGAGTCTTACGGAGATTCCATTATAAATTTTGATGTTTCTTCATGTGCATTGTGTGTCCCCCCCCCCCCAAATTTCATCTCATTTTCTGGAACTGCCTTAATTATTTTATTACAAGATAATTATTTAAGTGTGTCTTCATTTATTTTGACATTCTGTACAGTGTAATATATGCTATATTGTAATTGAATTGCTATGTTGATTTCTGTGTTTTTTATTTAAAAACACTTAAATATAAGCTATAGATCAATCTTTGTTTGTATTCATCTCTGTTTATGTAAAAATGAAGGCCAACATCAGAAGAGCTTGACAAGCAAATGCCATTATGTTTCTATGAAGTCTCTCACCTCTTTTGGGCAACAACATTAGTATAAACAGAGTTATTTACAGCATGATGATATTCATCTGGGGGCATGACACCTAGGAGAAAGCAAACAATTCAGAATATATGAGACTTCCTCCATCTTCTTACTATGAATAGCCACGTGGAGTCCCCTTGGGGGTAAATAAAGTGAGGTATCAATAAAATATAATAATAATAATAATAATAATAATAATAATAAGGAAGAAGCTAAAAAGAAACACGTATTCAAAATCTGATCCAAGCCAGCCAAGTCCAAGCCATGAAAAACTAAATTCTGTGATGAGATTAAATTGTGTGTAGGTTGAGCCTAATTTCCATACATACACCAATCTAGCACTATTTGTTCCACTGTTAGGTGAGGTACAGAGGCATACCTGTAAATATAGCTCCTCACAGTCAGCCTCTTGATTGTTACTGAAGCCGATTCCACACAAGGAAAAAGTGTGTTCCAACCTGGGTTTAAAACCCGGGTTGGGTGGACTTCTTTCCTCACACCAGCCTGAAAAACCCACGCTTTTGCTGCTGGGTGTCTGGGTGCCCACCCAGAACCTTAAAACCCCTTACAAAATAAAATAACTTACCCGGTTGCCATTTCCCCTTCTTTGGAGATCTCATGGCACATAAAAATGACATGCCAGGAGAAAGGGGGGAGGAGCAATTTTCCTCCTCACCCCCTTTCTCCTGGCACATCATTTCTACATGCCAGGAGAACTCCAAAAAGGGGGAATGGCAGCTGGAGAAGTTATTTTATTTTTAAAGGGGTTTTTAAGGGGTTTTGGGGAGAGAGTTACAGCCCTCTGGGTTTTCTGGGCTGATCCAGCCCAGAAAACGTGAGAGGGCTGTGTGAACTGCCCACTCAGAAGTCCCAGGATTTCTGAGGGGGAGGTCCACACAGGGCCCATACTCAATATGACCTGGGTTTTTCAGTAATTAATTAATTCAGGACAAAGCAGGGCTTGTCTGCTTTGTCCCAAACTAATTCGCTGTTACCTGAGGTGTTGTTTGGAAGCCTCAGGTAAATGTGAGCCTCAGGTAAATGTGAGCAAAATGTGAGCATTTTGGGTCCTGTGTGGATAGGTCCTTAGATTTCACAGGTAACTAGATAGTTTTGAAAATGTTGCCAATTCAGTGCAGTTCTAAGCTTCTTCCTGAGCCAAGAAATTTACTTTAATCAATGGATATACATACTTAGTAACATTCAGGTGTTCAGAAACTAGTTACTCCGGATGCAGGATGAAAATGCTAGGCATGTGACCCATCTCCCACACCTGGTGGCTTCCATCACTTGGAAAGACTGTCACACACAAGTTTCTCTATTCAGTCCAGGGGGTGGTATCCATGGAGGATTACAAAGTTTCAACAAAGAGTTGGAGGATTTCCACTTTCTAAGGAATCCTTGCCCCCCAATTTACCATTGATGTGATAATTCTGCTCTTCTGAATTCCACTCCACTCGACTGCACCAGTACTGAGCAACAGCCCAGACCACATCCCAGCCACCTTCCTCTTGAAAGAGAATCAAGTCCTGGAATCACATAGAAAGAAAATAGCTCCATCTCCTGCCTTAGAGCATGATTACCAGGGATTAGGACAAGACAGAGAACTTGTTTTTGTGCTACACTTTCCACTGCCCCCAGCTATACTGCCCAGGGAGAATAGTGGTTTTTCAACATCCATAGGGTCCCAAATATCCCCCCCCCAACTTTTTTTAAGAAAAGGGAGAAAGAGCAATGAGCAATATGAGAGGGAAATATGACAATAAAAGTGGCACTTGAATGCCAAGCCTTTCTTAAATTTCCAGCACAATGCTTGAAGCCAAAAGAAATGTCACTGTAAAGCTGTAAATCAAGAGAAGACAATGCCAATATTACCTGTGTGATGTAGTAATATTGCTCAAATGCCAGCATAATATCCCCATTGATATGAATTTCCTCAGCTCCATAAACCTCCTCGGGGCAGACCTCTTGGCCTGTTGCTGCACTCTCCCAGGGGAACTTTGCACCCTGCCGCAAGCAAAACCCAATCCAAGGGAGAGAAAACACCATTTGTACTCAACAGCTCACATAGAACTAACAAGTCAAAATTAAGGGTTTTTTGTTTCCATAGGAGTTTCAAAACCAAGGAATGAAATGTTTTCTATTGTGTGAAAGTCAAGGTTGGACTTGTATCCTACTCTAAACTATATATTATGCATGCATGAAATTCCTAAAATTATTGAAATGGGAATACTACAGGGTCACAGTTTATTTAGGCCTTCATTTGCTCAAATCTAGACAAACACATTTGTTAAGGTTTAAATTAATAAGTGACACTCAAGATCAGCAATGAATACTGGATTGCAGAACTTCAGCATTTTAATTTCTGCAATTACCACTAGGATTCCATCTCTTCTGGATAAGTAAATATACAGATATGTATATCAGAGGGTACTCAAAAGTTAAGATCTGTAAAATCATAAGGTCTGCTTGGAAACAATAATATCTAATAGCATAATAGAGGTATAATAGAGATGAACCATTGAAATTACATAATCACTATTTTAAGGAAACAGTCACTATAGTTTCAACTCTAACCCCATAACTTGGAGCTGATTAGTTATTCCAAGAAAATCCCAAGTGAATCCCAAGAAGGTCACAAACTCGTCACATGTTACTGACCCCTGAACCAAGTCATGATAGTTAAGGAGTTCCAGATAAATTCCAGATGCAAAATTCCCATTAATCCTTCTGCGGTTCATTTCTAGTCCTTCTTTTAAAAGTTGTTTCTGCTGAAACTTATGTTGAGAATTTCCTCTTCTGGCTCTCCAGGCTTAAACAGAAATGGAGTGGAATTTCCTCCCTATAGAATAGTGTTTAAATGGGTGAGAACATTTTCCAGGCAAACCTAAAGACTAATGCTACTACTTAGCAAATGCAACTTTGATGCATCCTTTTCCCCACATTGAATAACTGCCACTTTAATGTGCAAAATATGCCATCAGCCCCTTCCAATGTCACAGAAATTCAGTCATATGAATGCATGTTTCAAAATGCCTTCTGATGGCAGTGAATTTTTACTGCTTGTTTTTAAACAATGCTAAATAGGTGATATGAAAAATCATCAGGCCACTTTCAAATCTGATACATAACAACTTTATTAAGCAGCATTAATAAAACCTGGGTACATCTATAGCTGAAATCACTTTTTGTCATTCTGCACCACCTACTGCCCCTACCTTGTAGCCTCCTTTCTGCGCATTGAACAGAGCTCCCTCTAGTGTTTTGATCCGATATTTCAGAATAGCACGAGCTGCTTCAGGGTAGAAAAGTAAGATGTTTGGGTACATCCAGGTATCCTGAGTTTAACAAGAAGAGCACACATAAATATGAATATGTGGTCAATAAGTGAAATAAAATGCTGGCACGAGTTAAGAGCAGGAAGCATTTGGACTCAGAGCTTGAAAAAATTGTGTTTGTGTCTGTGCACAATGCCCGAATCCCTGAATCTGTATTAGCCTTCCTCAAGTAGCTGCCCATCAGATACAATTGACCATATCCACCAGACCCATTATGCCTGGAAATAATGATAACACAGTAAATGTATTTGGAAGGTGCTTGGTTGGTTGGAAACAAGGCAAGCAACCTTCCCTACCAACTTATGGAGGAACAGGGCTCTTCTGTCAGTTCAATAGGCCCAGCTCTCCCTCATGCCAGGACTCAGTCCTGAAACATTAACATGTACCCATAAGCATAAGGACAGTGTTATTATTGTTGTGTGCCTTTAAGATATCTCCCAACTTATGCCAACTCTAAGGAGCCCCTGGTGGTGTAGTGGGTTAAACCGCTGAGCTGCTGAACTTGCTGGCTCAAAGGTTGATGGTTCAAATCTAGGGAGTGGAGTGAGCTCCTGCTGCTAGCCCCAGCTTCTGCCAATCTAGCAGTCCGAAAACATGCAAATGTGGGTAGATCAATAGGTATCGCTCCAGCGGGAAAGTAACAGCACTCTATGCAGTCATGCTGGCCATATGACCTTGAAGGCATACAGACAACGCCGGCTCTTTGGCTTAGAAATGGAGATGAGTACCACCTCCCAAAGGTGGAAACAACTAGACTTAATGTCAGAGGGAAATCTTTACCTTTAAGGCAAATCTATCACAGGGGTTTTTTTGGCAACATTTCTTCAGAGGGAGTTTGGCTTTGTCATCATAGGTTTCCATAGCAGAGGGGGATTTGAAATCTGATCTCCAATATCGTAGTCCAATGCTCAAACTACTTCACTATCACATGCATAGCACATTTCTACAAATTAAATATATTTGTTGTAGTATCTCTCCAATTATTTATATTACTGTTGTTTTAAAATATTATTGTTATTATGACTATTAGTAATCACCTTGTGTGTCATAAAACTTCCAGAACACTGGGAGAAACAAAGCAAGAAATTGGGTGCAGAGCAGATTCAGATGCTCATAAACAAAACCATTTATGAAATTTCATTGCATTTAAAAGGTGACACAAGGTAAGTAGAATACCATGATTATCTTGGAACAAGTAGTTGAGGTAAAATTCTCCAAAATCCAAGCCACATCCTATTTCTAGTGTGCTATAATTAGTCATCTCTAAGGTTGCCAGATAAAGTTGGAGAGAGCTGCTATATTTTTAATAGTTATGTAGAAACAGCAGCCTGTGTAGAGTTCTGGAGGCCAACACTTGTTTCCTTGTTTGGCCATGGAAACCCATTGGGTGACCTTGGACAAGTCACACACTCTCATTCCCAGAAAATTTTACAATAGGGTTGTCTTAGAATCACCATATGTCAGAAAGACTTGAAGGCAGACAACCACCAAGAGGAGGCAACTTCAGCAGGAGCAGATATGTTACCTGATTGCATGACTAGGTCCCATTAAAGGAAGCCCTGTCTAGTTTTAATTCTGGCAATTTTATACACACCCAAACATCAAAAACTTCTGAAGTAACAAAAGAGTACACTCCAAACAAGATGGGTAACTCCTCCTGGATTGTCATGGCTTCTCCAACTCATGTGGACATTGCTCTATATGGTAGGGAACAACTGGAGAGACTCTTGTGATTTTTGGCTCACCTGGTCCCAGAAGACATGACCCCAGTAATCTTCATCTTGAGTGCCATTAGAAAGGCCTCCAGGGCTGATCCCAGAGAACAAGACATCAGGGGCACCCAGAGGCGGGATGGCACTTAGCAGGTAATAAAGGCAGCCATAGAGGGCCTGGCTGAGTGAAAGAGGTCCATCAACCTCCACGCAGCATCCTTGCCAAAGGGCTGCCCAAGCTTCGGTGTGAGACAAATATAAGGATCCAGAGCCAATCAGTGACATCCCTTCTACAAAGCTCCTTTTGGCATCTTCTTCAGTCTCTGCAATGGCAGTGAGGAAGTCCCAGCATTTCTCCTCTTCCTTCTCAGAGAGTGTCACTGTATGTGGCACAGAGGTCCAGATCATGTGTACAGTAGGCTGAGGACCACCTTCCACTTCAGGGACCAATGTCTTTCCATAGAGATAGCTGACAGAGGGAGAGGAAAAACGAAAGCTTAGGTTTCTGTCAACTGACCACAAAGGAAATAATCCCATCTTTGCTCCCCACCATTAAACCATCCACTGGCTTCCTATCATTCCCATCCAGTGTGAAGTCCTGGACTATTCTGCCATCTGAAATTCTCTCCCATTTTCTGTTCTTTTTGTGCTTTTTCATCCCTAATATTAAATGTTGCTTTCCCTTATACTCAGAATTATGTCGAGAACACCTGATTATGCTCCAGATAATAATTTGTGGGGAACCTTACATACTCTAAATGTGCCAGATCCCGTCTTAAAGCGAAAGCGAAGCAGGGTCAGCTATCATTAGTACTTGGATGGGAGTCCACCAACAAATACCGTGCTGTAGCCTATAACCAAGAGAAGTGGCAAAACCACACCTGAGTTTCCTTGCTTAGGAAAACCCTTTTGAAATTTGCGAGGTCACCATAGGTTGACAGACAACTTGAAAACATGCACATGGACATATAGTAGAGTCTCGCTTATCCAACCTTCACTCATCGAACATTCTATATTATCCACTGTGTACATTAATTTGTGCTAGTGTTACATTTCATTCCCATTCCTTCCCCACTCTCCTTATCATCATGACCCCACAGATGTTGATTGCAACAAAAGGCAATGCATTTCCTGACTCATTTCAAACTGAATATAAATAGATATTAGAGAAAACAAGAATTGTGTTCAGAAGCATCTGTTAATAATTGTACTGTAGGGGTACACAGTTATATAATGTAATTAAGCCTCAGTGCTATGATATCTAATCAAATATTTTAACATTCTATATGCAGTCATAATGTTTACATCAATTGGATATGGGGGGAAATATCAAGTCTTCGTTGTCGAAGAAATACATAATTCCCTCCCGACTTTCATCAACTGAAAACATGATTGCATCTGAATGGGAGCTGAGGCCCCCTCCACACAGCTGAATAAAACCCCACATTATCTACTTTGAATTGGAATATATGGCAGTGTGGACTTAGATGTTCTGCCTTGATATTCTGGGTTATATGACTGTGTGGAAGGGTCCTGAAAAAATGGCATTTACTTCTCAGTCATGGCAAAACATGGAAGCAAGAAATTTGAAGCAAGCTAAGCTGAGAGCTATTTATACACAAAGCCCTTTGAACACCACCAAGAAAGAGAAGAACAGAAAACACCAAAGGATGCAAGTTAAAAGAGATTCAGTGGCAGTTCTCCTAGAATACCAAGATTACAGAAACCATTCCAAAGCATATCCAAATTCTCTTCCTGCTTGTGGTTCTTGGTATTGTCACTCAGCCTGTCCTCATTTTCTGAACAGGGCTGCAGCCCATATATTGGGCACAGCTGAGGATGGCATTCCAAACCACAGGGAAGAAAATATCCACTTCCTCCTGCTACTATTTTTTAAAAGCTCCTTGGCAAGAAAGCTCCTTCCAACAAAAGACTGGGCAAACCCTCACATGATAGTACTCACTGAGTGCCCTGGAAATCTGGCCCTCTATGCAAGTCCAGGTCTGGACTCTCTGGTGTGAATTGTGCCTGGAGGTTCACTGTGATGGGCTGAGCATTGAGAGTTGACCTCTGGATGGTTATACTGAAAGCCACAAGGTGAGTAAGAGAGTGGTGAGCATAGATTCTGTGAGTGGCTGTATAATCGGAGGACTTGATAGTATGGGTATATGTTCCTGCAGTCAAGAGAGAAAAAGGAAGAGATTTATCTTTATCATATTGTCAAATGTCTTTCATTTGATTGTGTTGTCAACCAGTCTAACCATGGAAAGTATTAAAAGAGAGTTCATTTGGATTGACGTTTATTGGTGTAACAAGGACACTGAAATATGGTCTGTATTACATTATTAACGAACTTCACTCAGCTCTCCATATTTTCAGGTTTGACTTTTGCAGATTTGATTATTTGCAGATTTGATTAAAATGTTCTCTCTTAAAATCTTGACTATATGGTGAACTTCTCATGGAGTCACACCGGAGGACCTAGAGATTCCTAAACAAAAGACTTCCCTAGATATCTTCATTATACCTTCCAATGCAATTTTATGATAAACATCTGATGGAAGTTAATTATAAAGTTTACTGGAGGACCTAGAGATTCCAACACAGGTGTTCTCACAGTTAAAAAAAAGGAGAAATGTTGTAATACGTTTTTTAAAAATTCAGTGTTCTGTGCCCCTAACCCTAGTTCAGGGGAAACAGTATTATAATAATTGTTCACATTATTATTTATTAAAAAATTGTCTATATCCAATTTATATCCTTGACCAGATCATCAATGGTTCAGTGAGACAATAGTGTTGAAAGCTCCTTTCAAACAGCTGAATAAAATCTCACATTATCTGCTTTGAACTAGAATATATGGCAGTGTGTACTCAGAAATCCCAGTTCAAAGCAGACATTGTGGAATTTTCTGCCTTGATATTCTGAGTTATTTTACTGTGTGGGAGAGCCCAAAGAGAAAAAGTGTCTCTTATTATCTCTTTTCTTACTATTCATATAGGGCAAATTACAGAACTTAAAAATGGTTCCGGGAAGAAGAATGTTGTGCTGTTTTCCTCAGAACTGGAAATTTTCCCATGAGTCACTGAAAACACAAAAGTATAACCACTTTGGCAAGTAACTAAAACTCTATCCCCACCATGAAAATATTCCTGCAAAGTTGTATGCTCTCTTAAAGTTCATTCTCTATAAACTCACTGAACTCAGAGTAAGTGATCACCCAAGGTTAAATCACCATTTGAACCCAGGAACACCCCATCCCAAGTCCAACAGTCTAAGTCCAAAAGACCCTTTTGTTTCTTCAAGAGAAAGAACCTGAAATATCTTTCCAAAAGATTAGTCCCAGTGAATCTGTTTAATAAATTAGACCCGCTACAACGGCACTGTTGTATTTGTCATAAACACTATGAGGCCATGAATGAAGCCAATGTAGCCACTTACCTGTCTTAGTGACCAAAGAGAAAGTCTCGCTCAGGCTGTCTCCAGCAGCCACACTCATTTTGACATTAACAGGGCTAGGGATATCTGCACGGTGTGTGTCTCCAGCTGCTCCATTATAAACACCATTCACGTGGAGGATATTCCGATAGACACGAGTGCCCAGGTAGGCATTGGTCACCGTTGCAAGAAGACGGGGATCAGAAGGCAGGATGCTACATGAAAACACTGTGGGGTCTTCCATGAGCCTGGGAAGAAGGAATGCTTGTCTCTCTAGCTGAAAGCAGTACAATGCAAACAGTGATTATTCTGTCAGGTGAAATACTGATACTGTCATAATAAACAACTAATGTTTGCATGCTGGAAAGCAGCTATGAAGCTGAATGGAAATTATGCTAAGAAAAGAGAGATAAAATAAACAACAGACTACATTAACTGGACTTAGGGGCAAAGGGGCCCCATTAAAGTGAAAAAACAGAAATAATTATATAGCTTTTTCTTTTTACTTGAGAGAACACCATCCAGGAATTTTTAGGTCTTTCAGCATTGCTCTATGGTCAATATCGGCTGGAATCTGCCCATAGAATTGCACTGGAGGACCTACAGATTCCTAGTGAGGACTTCTCCCTAGAAATCTCTAGTTCCTTCAGCATGACTGAAGGAGGTTGACCATAGAGTCACACTGAAGGACCTAGAGATAACATTTTAAATAAAATCCATGAATGATCTAATCCACAGATGTCAAAACCACAAATGTAAAAGGATGAATGTATGTTTTTACATTGGTCATGTTGAAATCTAGCATGCTGCCTGATTCCTTTGAATGCAATTTTCCTTCTTCTTGGCAGGGGGTTGGACTGGGTGGCCCACAAGGTCTCTTCCAACTCTATGATTCTAGGATTCCATGATTCCTCCTGTGTCAAGCTGTATGGCCATTGTTTCCTTATGGCGACATCTAAAACCAGCAGCCTATCTGGTCTCTCCCCTAATAACCCTGCTTCTTTCCCTGGTTTCTTACAGGAGATAAAAGAGATTGAAATCAAATCATCAGGGTTGGCCCTCCCATTTGGTAGAAAGACAAAGTGAGGCAGCAGATTTAAATGTCATGAAGGGGGAGCAAAAATTTAGTACATTTTGCCGTTGTTTTGAATAAAATAAAACAAGTATAGTTTTTGCTGCAAAGATATATATTCATGAGATTTTCTTGTTCCCTAGTACTAAACTGGGCTGGAAAGGAGGTCAGAGACAAGATGGGTGAGTCTCGAGGGCTTTGAGGTTCCTTGGCTGCTTTAGATCATCTTGTGGAGAGAAAAATCGGAATAATAATAATAATAATAATAATAATAATAATAATAATAGGCATAGGTGCAGGAGAAAGGGAGAATGAGGATACTCCTCCCCCCACCAAAACATTAATTCTGTCCCTTTCCCCAATATTTTCCTTCAGTCCCCAAATTTCCAGTATAGATGAGAGACACTGAAAATCACTCACTATCATCTATAATTAATATGTTTGCCGCAATCGTATTCCCTTGATAAATTTGCCTGCCTGTTTCTTTGAATGCCTAAACTATTTCTTAGCTGAAATTATAAATTACTGTGGTGCTAAAAGTTTGGGAACTGGAGGAAAATGTCATGTGGGGCAGGAGAGACTATTTACTTGAGGGTGAATGTGCTCATTTTTGCCTCCCTTCTTGTTACAACCCATGATGCCTCTACTAGTCCCCTTCTACACCATTGGATTTTCAAAGCAGATGATCCATATTATCTGCTTTGAACTGGATTGTATGAGTCTACACTGCCATACAATCCAGTTCATTGGGATTTTATATGACAGTGTAGAAGGGAGCTCAATTAAGTAGGAAATATGACATTCGTTTAAGGACCAGTTGGAAGCAACACTGCCAAAAAGACTTATAAAGTTGTATCACCAGATGTGGATGAAGTGCACCAGGCAACAATAGTCTCTGGTGGCAAAGGGGTGCTTTCTATGGAGTCAGACAGTCTCTGTGAGGCTGGATCTACATTGCACTATATCCCAGGATCCGATCCCTGATTATCTACTTTGAACTGGATTATATGGGTCTGGATGGATGTTATCCTTGAAGTGACTGGCTTGACCTTGAAGGAGCTGGGGGCGGCGAGGGTGGATAGAGAGCTCTGGCATGGGCTGGTCCATGAGGTCACGAAGAGTCGGAAACAACTGAATGAATAAACAATATGAGTCTACACTGCCAAATAATCTGGAATAAGCAGATAAACTGGGACCAGATCCTGGGATATAGAGCAGTGTAGATCCAGCCTGAGTTGGAATGCCAGGACATCATAATCATCAACATATCTGCTACCTGCTCCATCTCCCCAAATATGCTTTTCTTGTGAGCTTACTTGTATTCTGCTTATCTTCTGAAGGCCCTTCCAGACAGGCCCTGTATCCCAGGATCTAATCCCAGTTTTTTCTGTTTTTCCCAGATTATCTAGCTGTGTGGGCTCATATAATCCAATTTAAAGCAGAAAACCTGGGATCAGATCCTGGGATATTGTGCCTGTCTGGAAGGGCCCTGAGTTTACCTGCATGGGTTGGCTATTCTCACTATAAACAAGGTGCAATTATAATGCACCCATGTGCAAAGAATATGCACTATGGTTCCACTTTAACTGCCATGGTCCCATCCTAGGGAATCTTGGCGTTTGCAGTGCCTTGAAGGACTAGAGCTCTATGTCTGAGAAGTCATTTAGACCCTTCTCGAAAACACAAATCCCAGCATCCTTTAAAATGGAACCATGGCATTTAAAGTGGAACTATAGTGTTAGAAATACCTAGTATGAAAGACTTCTGAGGCCCTTTCTACACTGCCATGTAAAATCCAGATTATCAGATAATCCACATTTGTAGTGGATTAGATGAGTCTACACTGCCATATCTCCTGTTCAAAGCAGATAATCTGGATTTTATATGGAGTGAAGATCCAGCCTGAGGCCTGAACGGGTGAGCCAAATTCCTCGGCTAGACAAAGGAGCTGCTTCGAGCGGAGAGAAAGAAAGGCGCAATGGGTTTGTTGATCTGGAGCCACTTTGGTGCAAGGACATTCCCAACGAGGGCCTGCATTTCTGCACTGACCCAGGGGGCACCTAAAGTATGGAGTTAGTCCAGTTTGTCCCCACTTTTCCTGCCCTGACTCAATGCCACAGAATCCCGAGAGCTGGAGTTTGGTGCAAGGCGCAAGACCTTGCCAAACTACAGCTCCCGTGAGCCAGGGCAGGAAAAGTGGGGTCGAATTGCCCCCTAAGACGCTCTTTCCTCTTGTCTCGGGACTCTGAGCAAACGACTTTGAAAGCTGAGCGCCAGCAGCCCTTGCTTCTCGCTTCTCGCGCTCCTCCCGCCACGCTGGCAGCCTCCAAAACTCCGCCCGCCTCTCCTCTGCCTTCACCTCCGACGAGAGCGAACCCTTTCTCTCCTTCTCCTCCGTCGCCGCTTTCGAGAACCAGGGCGAGGCCGCGGGGAGTTGGGGCCCTGGCAGACCAGCGCCGCCTCCAATGGCTGGGCCCTCGGCCTGGGAGTCCCTCGGGGAAGGGCTTCGAAGGGGTGGCCCGCTCCTGCGGGGAGGGGAGCGCAGACTTTGGACCAAGTCGGCCCTTGGGCTCCGCCTCGCCTTTCGCCTTGGACAGCCCCTCGGCTCCACCCCCGCCCTCCTGGTTCAAGCGCAGCTGTAATCATAGTCATGCTGAGTTTAGATGTATATTTATTTATTTATCTATTTATTTATTCACAGTATTTATATCCCGTCCTTCTCACCCCACAGGGGACTCAGGGCGGATTACAATTCACATATACATGCCAAACATTCAGTGCCATAGACACACAACAGATATAGTCAGACACACAGAGGCTATTTAACATTCCAGCTTCATGAGGGTATTCTGGCCACCAGGGGCGCTGTCGCTTCACTGTCTCTTAGTGACAACAATGGAGTACTTCCTCATTCTTTGAATGCTTGCTGGAGATTTTTATGGTGTCGTAAATTAGTTAAATTCGCCTCCCTGCATAAGCAGTACCTAAATTTCCTGCTTGACAGATGCAACTGTCTTTCAGGCTGCAAAGGTCGATGACAAGCTACACAATTTTAGTCGGAAGCTCACTCCAACCCAGGCTGGCTTCGAATTCATGACCTTTCGGTCAATAGTGATCTTAATGTAGCTGACTCCCAGCCAGCTGCGCCACAGTCCCAGTGCTAAGCTTGTTGTTCGAAAGTTCACAGGTTCAAATCCAGAGAGCGGTGTGAGCTTCCGCTGTCAGCCCCAGCCAACCTAGAAGTTCAGAAATATGCAAATGTGAGTAGATCAATAGGTACTGCTCCAGCAGGAAAATAACATGACCTTGGGGGTGTCTATGGACAAATGCCAGCTCTTTGGCTTAGAAATGGAGATGAGCACCACACCCCAGAGTCGGACATGACTGGACTTAATGTCAGGGGAAAACCTTTACCTTTACCTCAAACCTGTAACGTGGGGAAAATGGAAGGCAAAAGGAAGAAGGGCCAACCAAAGGTAAGATGGGCAAGATGACCAAGGGCAAGATGGATGGGTGATATCCTTGAAGTGACTGGATTGACCTTGAAGGAGCTGGGCATGGTGACAACCAACAGGGAGGTCTGGTGTGGACTGGTCCATGAGGTCATGAAGAGTTGGAAGTGAATGAATAAACAACAACAACATGGGCCCCCTGGAGGCGCAGCGGGTTAAGCTGCTGAGCTGCTGAACTTGCTGACCAAAAGGTTGACAGTTCGAATCCAGATCCATCTTTCTTGGAATGCCTCCAGGGACCAGTAGCAGATGGCTCATCGACAAGCAATGGTTTACAGACTACCACCTGAAGTAGTACTGGTTTAGACTACGAAGTGTCTAATAAACACTATTTTGGTATTTTGATTGTATTACCATCATCACTCCTACTATTCTGTTACATACTCATACTTTTTATTGGAGCAGTAAATAGGACACAGATCTTACACCCAGAATCTTCTCCTTGTTATTATGTTGCTAGCAAACACTGATTGCCTTTTCCTCTGGTCTGATTGCAACAGCCTAAAATATGCAAATCAGAAACATTTTGCAACAATGAATCTCCCACTGTTCTTGGAGAAGAATATTTCCTACTGAATTCTTGCCACTCTTAAATGCAATCAGACATCTGGAGGTAGATCCAAGATGGCAATGGAAATGGTAGATCTGCCAGGACCACTGCAGTTTGTTTGATTTTCTTGTTAGGTTTTGTTGTTACTATTTTGGAGCCTTACACTGACAGTTTTATATTTTAAACTCTTTATTGCTTATTATTATTATTATTATTATTATTATTATTATTAATAATAATAATAATAATAATAATAATATATTTATATTCTGCCACCATCTCCCTGAAGGGAATTGGGACACCTCACAAAACTTTATAACTCAATTACATAGAGTAATTGCTTGGCTGCTCACCACTAGGTAGCATGGATAGCAGAAAGGTAGGACTGTTACCTTACCAGTACAACCCCCTGCCATGCAGGAAATACACAATCAAAGTGCCCCTGACAGATGGCCATCCAGCCTCTATTTAAAAGCCTCCAAAGAAGGAGCCTCCTCCAGACTCCAAGGCAGAGAGTTCCACTGTTGAACAGCTCTTACAGTCAGGAAGTTCTTCCTAATGTTCAGTTGGAGTCTACTTTCCTGTAATTTAAACCCATTGCTCCAAGTCCTAGTCTCCTAGGCAGCAGAAAACAAGCCTGTTCTCTCATCCTTATGACATACTTTCATATATTTATACATATTGGCTATCATGTCTCCTCTCAACTTTCTCTTCTGCAGGCGAAACATACCCATCTCTTTATGCTCCTCATAGAGTATGGTCTACTGACCTCTGATCATCTTAGTCACTTTTCTCTGAACATATCCCAGCTTGCCAATATCCTTGAACTATGGTCTTGGTCTTGTCATCACCAAGGTTTTACTTCTGCCACTAGATGCTGCTGTTTTGTTGTAGCGTTACTGGAAACTTTGCAGTACTGATCCTCCCTCCTGTTATGAAAATCAACTTCCTGGTTGCTGAATGCCGTCCTTACTTGTTAACACAGACGTTGAAGAAATTAAGGGAACTAGGCTTCAGGCTCTGGGTCAAAAACGTCAAAGGGAAAAGCAGATAAAAGTGTTTATCTGACAGATCTAAAAGAAACACTTTTCTGTATTTCAGTTAATTGAAGTTATTATATTTCTGTACACCAAAGGACTCCACCTTGTGGGTTTAAATTCCAAACCCAGATATGTCACCAGGTAAGTGATGGAATGGAGGGGTTACTTATAGGAAGGGTATGCTGCTTACCTTAGTCCTGTTTCAATATATTGCTATAATATGCAAATAATGAGATTGTGATGTTCTTTGTAGCTATAAGAGGTTGAACATTACAAAAATGTGTGTGTGTGTGAAGGGGAGTAGCTACTGAAAAAAATCAAAGTTGAAATGGGAGAAGGATGTTGTCATTGATATTACTTGGAATTGGAGATATTAGAAAGAGAAAAGTAGATTGAAAAGAAGGACAAGTCTTTCCATGCAAATTGTGTTAGCTTCCCTTCCTGCACAGAGATTTTCCTTTGGACCAGTGTGAGCTGACATGCATGCATTGATTTTGGGAGGGGACTGGTAAGATTATAGTTCTGCTTCTGGGCAGAGAGGGGCAACTAGCTATTTACCACTGTTCTTTAAAGACAACTGATTCTAAACTCATACTAGTTCAGATAGGAATACCCCACCACCACCTCCATAGAAATTTTGTGAAAGACGCTGCTCTTTCTAGCTAGGGAGGCAATTCTTAATTTTCTTTGTGAAGGAAGTAATGTGTAATTTTCACAATTTTAGTCCTCCCATGAGTCGTTTTCAAAAACAGGCATGGAAATTAATTGGTTGTGGAGGAATGGGAACAATAACAGATAATGGTATAAAGTGTTTTATACCATATAATTCTGGTTTTAAAGGATGATGTCTGTTAATTTATATATTTAGTTTGCTTTTTTCACTTTTATGGATTGTCCAATTACTTGCATTGATTCTGTTTAAATTGGTTATTAGTTTATTGGTTTATTATCATTATTTTATTTTGATTATTGTTGTGTTATTTACATTGTTGTGAGCTGTTCCAAGTCCACTTGGGGAGATGGGGTGGGGTATAAATAACGTTTGTTATCATCATCATCATCATCATCATCATCTTCATCATCTTTTGCTTTCACCAGTCATTTTTAGATCTTTGGCATATTTTTAGATATCTCAACAGCTTGATTGTTTCTTAAATAAGGAATGATAAATAACAATAAGTATTGTTTGAATTAGATTACAGGGAGAGATACAGAGAACACATTAGAAAAAAATATTGTTCACCTGAAGATGGGAACCCTTGCTTGATGGTCCAGATACCTCCAAATGAGAAATACACTAAAGTGGTTGTTGCAAGTGGAAAAGAAAAAGAACGTGAAATACTGAATAGGCCATGGAGACACACACAATCGCTGTCTGAGCAAATGCCTGTGACAACCATAGATGCGCTCTTTGATACTGAGAATGATGGACCGCAGACGGTTGTGCTCTTTGGCATGGCTGGGGTTGGGAAAACTGTGATGGCCAGAAAGATCATGCAAGACTGGGCAACTGGAAGACAATCTCCAGAAAGATTTGATTCTGTTTTCTACTTGAGTTGTCGTCAAATGAATTTCATTGTGGTAGAGGCTAATTTGGCTGAACTTATTTTAAATAATCACTCTGAACCTAGACTTGGAGAAGCAATTAACAAACTCCTCATGAATCCAGGCAAATGCCTTTTCATTATTGATGGTTTTGAGGAACTGAATTGTTCCATTAAACAACAGGAGAATAACCTGAGCATCAATCCCTTTGAGAAGAAGCCGGTGGAGCTGCTCCTGAGCAGTTTGTTTTGCAAGACCCTCCTTCCTGAGTCCTGCTTAATCATCACTACTAGGCCAAATGCTCTGGAGAGCCTTGAGGATTGTTTGCAGTCACCACGCTATGCCAGGCACCTGGGATTTTCTGAAGAAGGCAAAAAAGAATATTTCTGCAAGTTCTTTGGGGAGGAAAAATTAGCAGCACAGACTTTGAGCTACATTAAAAAGAATGAAGCACTCCTTGCTATCTCCTTTGTCCCTAATGTATGCTGGATCATCTGCATGGCATTGAAACAGCAGCTGGACAGAGCTGAGGAAGATCTGATGCTACTTTCGGACACACTCACAGGAGTGTATGCACTTTATCTTTCCCATTTGTCTAAGTCTCTTTGCACTGGCTCTGAGCAATTAAATCTGATAGGACTCTGTTCATTGGCTGCTGATAGAATCTGGGAAAAGAAAACCTTGTTGAAGGAACAGGACATTCAAAAGCAGCTGGCTTTCCATGGAACTCTCTTTCGGAAAGATCCTGATTGTGAAGGCATCTACAGTTTCTTCCACCCCAGTATACAAGAGTTTCTTGCAGCTTTGTTCTATGTTTCTGAAGACGTGTCCAGAGATACTGAGACTACTAAGAAAAGCATCATTTTTTTCTTGGATGCTTGTAACGAAGTTCGAGGAGATTTAACATTAACAATACAGTTTGTCTTTGGCCTTTTAAACAAAGAAATAGTGAAATATTTAAAAGAACAATTTGAGTGGAGCATTTCACCTAAAATTAAGACTGACTTAATAGAGTGGTTTCAGTTAGACACACAGATTCAGTTCATTCGTCCAGATTATGGGCAACTAGAGCACTTTCATTCTTTGTATGAGATCAAAGAAGAAGAAGAATTTGTTAAGCATGCACTAAATCACTTAACTGAACTAACTTTACAAGACTTGACTTTTACGCAAATGGATCAAGTGGTTCTCTGTTATTGCATAAATAATTGTATGAATTTAGAAACTCTTTCCCTGTATAGATGTTTGTTTCTGTTGGAAGAATGTGAAGCAGAAGTACTTCAAAGGCTCCCAAGTTATCCACATCAGTAAGTAGTGTTGAAGTTTTTCCATTTATGAACATTTAGCAGAAGTAATATTACTTTTCTGACTTTCTGATAGTTATTTTGTTGAGGAACAATTCTGCAAATTACAACTGCAGTTTGCAAAACAAGAAATCTTTTCTTTGGTTCCTTTTATATTTCTTTGGACTGTACAATGATCTTTTCCATGCTTCTTCTCTCCATAGTTGGATGATGTCATTATGCTGAGCTTCAGGGCTTTCTCACATAGATGACTCTGACATTGTGGGCATTAGGCATAATCACCTGCTAGACCAGGCAGGAGAAAACTTCAGCCCTTCAGATATTAGGGACTCCAACTCCCACAATTCCTAATAGCCAGTCCAAAACAGCTGGAGAGCTGAAGTTTGCCCATGCATGTGCTAGACTTTTTCTGCCCTATTTGGTATAGCAACTTTTTGGGAATACCATCAAGAAAAGCTGCTCAGCTTAGTCCTAAACCATATTTATATAGTTGTCTTTCTGGGGAGATCTTAAAGCATATCTTTATTCAGAAGATAAGTCATAACTGTCTCTGTATGTCCTGGCACCACTGTATGTCCAAGTGTATGAATGCATAGAGAACTGGAAAGTGTATATGGGCACCCCATGAGAAAACTTGCAGGGATCTACCAAGCAAGCATGGACATCAGTATGAGTCAAAGCATGAGCCAGGCAAATCAATTGTGCTTTAGTCATATTTAAATCCATAGCTCAAATCAGTTATAGTTAACGTTAACCCCACTGATTTCAGTGGAAGTAAGATGTAAGAACGTAGTCTAGTCTAGGGAATAAAACTAGTTTAGTTTTAGTCTGAGAAGTGGGAACTTAGTCTAGATCTTATGCCAAACATGTTCTTCATGATGGATCTTTCAGCCAAAAAGCTTTGTAAACTCTACATTGGAGGAAATAGTAAGGCCACCTACCAAGGGAACATGAAGCAAGCCTCCTTGCAGACTAAAAATCCCTGAAAGTGTTTTGCTTTTTGGTTTCCAAGGAATCAGTGATAGTAAAACTTTTTTCAAAGGACATTGAAGTGTGCAGTATAGAGAAACACCAAGAGTACTGACAACCTATGATCTGAGTGAGAGTAGGGGCTTGCACCTTCCCACTGCGATGGCGTGAACCTCAGAGTAAGCCTGCCACAGCCGAAGAGAGATTTCCTGTCGTGAAATACGGAACTCACAAATTCCATGTTTTTCTTGCTGTTCAGCAGAGGCGAGTCAAACTAATCATTTCTGCATTTCCAGGCAACTTCAGAAGACAGAGAAGCATTCAGCAATTAACCTACTCTGTCAAACACTGAAGGACCCAGATGGTAAAATAAAGAAAGTGGAGTAAGTCACTGAACCAATCTGGTTACTTTTCCAAAGTGATGTGCCAGTTTGATGATTCCAGAGCTGAAATACCCACCACATCTGGCCAGATTATTCCACTTCATTGCTATGTCAGTTCTATTAAAACCAATTTAAACAGTGAGGTGTTACAGGGGAGAAGTGCAGGTCCAAAGATGGATCAGCATAGATGATTCCATGATAGGCAACAAGCTGTCAATAAAGATTACATGTGAAGCTGTCAGTTTCCAGATTTAAGTTGAAATTTTAAAATAGCTATCCAGTGTTCTGAATATGTTTTAGAAAATAGCATTCAGCACTAGGATTGCTTTTTTAAAAAATTGGACTGAGACTCTGCATGTATGCAGTGTTTCACTCACATTAGAGTCACCAGCTTCTAGGGATTTCTCCTCATCTCACATTTTCTTTGTTAAGATTTAGGGGCAGGTTGATAAATCAATTCTATATGTATGAGTTAAATTTTATAATGCAAACTTACCCATGGTGAGCATTTCAAGTGTTTCTTAGGCTTCTTCTACACTTCCATATACAGTCCAGATTATCTTCTTTGAACTGGATTATATGACAGTGTAGATTCATATAATCCAGTTCAGAGCAGATAATGTGGATTATCTGCTTTGACAATCTGTATTATATGGTGATGTAGAAGGGGCCTTATTTGTCTTGGGCAATTCTCTTATATTTCATACTATGTATACAATCTCTTAGAGCCCTTCCACACAGCCCTATATCCCAGAATATCTGCTTTGAACTGGGTTATCTGAGTCCACACCCATATAATGTGGGATTTTCTGCCTTGATATTCTGGGATATAGGGCTGTGTGGAGGGGCCCTTAATCCCAGAGAGCCAGTGTGATATAGTGATTTGTGCATTGAACTGCAACTGTGGAGACCAGAGGAAGAATTCCCATTCAGCCTTGAAAACCCACTGGGTGACTTTGGGCATGGTATACTCAAATAATGTATCTAAAGAAATCTTGCCAAAATACCATTTTGACAGGTTTGTCTTAGGGTTGCCACAAATCAGAAACAATTTGAAAGCACACAAGAATAACAAAGTCTAAAGGAAACATGTTTGGTTAATCCATAGGAAAAAATGAAATTTGAAGCCAGAGGAAAGAGATTTGAATATCTTGGGCGAATGTCATGTGGAACACAGAGCCTCTTGAACATGATCAAACAGATTCAAATGATAAGGACATTAGGAATAACTTTTTTTTTAGTGTGGGAGCAGTTCAATAGTGAAATAGATTATCTCGGTGATTGGAGGACTCTCCATATGTAAATCTCTTTAGTTAGAGAATAGGTGTCTTTACCTTAGATGTGTATTAGCACCTTAGACCTGCAAGACTAGGTGTTAAACTAGATGACCCTTGTGATCTCTTTCAGTCCTAAAATTCTTTAATTCTAAGTAAAATCTTGTAGGCATTTGCACCTTTTCAGAAACAAAATACAGAAGACAAAGAACTGGGAGAGATAGAAAGAGATTGTCATGCAAGCAGATGCCCTTTATAGAATAGAATATTTAAAGGAATTTGTGTATTTGATGTTCAGAGAAAGGGCTGGGCTAATAGAACTGTTTTTGTCTCACTGTGCAGGCTTGATGGATGCCAGTTCACAGACAAATTCTGGGAAGATCTATCTGTTGTTCTCTCAACAAACATGGTGCTGGTGGAACTTGATTTGCAGTGGACTAATCTGAAGGACTCTGGTGTCAGGTTTCTGCGTGAAGGACTGATTCATCCAAATTGCAAACTAAACAAACTGGGGTGAGCACTAAAAACACCCACCATGCTTTCAACATACTGTAATTATATTGCTTTGTGTATGCAAAATGTGCAAAGTAGAGGCAAACAGAAGTGGACTTCTAGACACTCCTGATTTGGAGTTATTTTTCCCCTTCACTATTATTTGGTATTTATCACTGCCAATATGTACTCCTCACTTCACTTTGTGCTTTGTGCTTCTTTGTCACAACTTTGTGCTACTATCATTTTAAAGGAGGAGTGTTGAAACAATGTTTATTTATTTTAGCGAATCATGAAGAGAAGGTCCAGAACACAAAATAATTTAAATTGTATGACTCATTCTATATTTTATATAGAATTAATTAAATCATATTTCTATTTTAGCTACAAAATTTCAAGTAAAAAAAACTGAAAATGATTCTTAATTGATAATTAGTGGTTAAAAAATACTACAACACCTGTTGGAAATACTTGACAACTGTGTCAATACACTTCGACAGAAATTAGGCTCCATCGATAAACTTCAATAGATACTCAAGAGTATAAGTCCAGTCAGTCTTTTTTATTTGCTCCATTGTGCTTCTTATATATGTTTTCAAATGCTTTAGAGTTCAAAATGACTTTTTATTTGTAGCTGTTGAAACTGGCAATATCACAGAAATCTGAAGAAGTTTCTTCACATTCGGAAAAAAAAACTGTCTATCATAAACAAGATGTGCTTCCAGTGCTATTGATTGTTTTTCTGCAGGTGTACTCTTTTTCCATTTTATTCATCTCAGGTCAAAGTCTTCCATCAGTGTGTCAGAATCTTGAAGGTATTCATTGTACACTTTTCTGCACTTGTTCAAGTTGGATTTTAAATGGCCATAATTAATAGGGAGGTTCATGAATTACTTTCTTGTGCCTTTTAAATCTTTTTTGAAGCTGACAGCAGAAAAAGTCCAGAAATGGAATGTACACATTTAGCCTACAATATTCCATTGGTATTGATGAAGTTGTCTGCATGTCGCTTTTACAAGTCTGCCTTGAACAGATGTGAGGAATGCTAACTTCTCCACCCATACATAGACTCCACCACTGATCCTGCTGTGTCAAAGATCTGCTGAAATTCTTTCACAGATACTGTGCATCTCCCTAGCTTTTTCTAAGAGACTGTTGACATAAAATCTACATAAAATGTCCATATCTACTCTTTGTAATATTTTGCTAAGCTGAAGGGATGGTGACATAAACTTTCTTAGGATGTGTATGGTTACTACAAATTCAGCATTCAGAACAGCTAAAAGAAGGTGTCCAGCTTGGGAAAACATCTCACTGTTGTATAGAGGACTCTCTTTTAGTTCTTCAAGTGTTCTCACCACCACACTGTACAGTTCAACAAAACTATTTTTTTAATGTAGATTGTTAGTATGTGATCTGTGATGCATAATAGGTCTTTTGTTCATTTCACAATCTGCAACAAGGAAACTGGCAGTTCCAGTTCTGCAGTGTTTTATCTTCAGAATAGTTCGCATTTTGGAATACAAGTCTTCAATTTTGGATGTGAACCTGATAACCAGGGTTCGCAGTGCCCATGATCTGGGAGCTGAAGTCCAAAACACCTGGAAGACTAGAGTTGGGAAAAACACTGGTGTAGATGCATGCACCCACTGTAATGAGATTCCACTTCAAAAGGCAGTTTTGAACTCCCTGTTGGAGTCTCTTTTCCTAACCCCTCTCTTTGGTGTCCAGGTAAGGGTTAAAAATTGCAGCCCCTTCTCTTCCAGATCATTTTTTATTATGCATTTTGTTCTGGGAGTTACCCCACACCCCACACACATCTGAGGCTTGCCTTAGAAGGTTTCCAGAACACAAAAGTTGTCTAATACTGTCCTGTCCTCTCACAGCTGTCAGCACATCCTTTGGGGATTAAAATCGGTATGAAGTTGCCCTGTACTGTTAAAAGGGTTGCAATGATGTAAGATCCTTTTTTGATGCATTTGCTTCTTTTCTTTCATGAGCCTCAAAAGAATATTAAAAAGTCATATTGCTTTATATTCTCCTCATTGAACTTCTGTCTTTCTCTCAGGTTGTGGGGATGTAATCTGGCTCATGCTTGCAGTGATGACCTTTTCACTGTTCTCAGCCACAGTCAGACATTGATGGAGCTCAAGCTGGGTTGCAATTCTTCCTTGGGAATCCAAGGAGTTCAGCAGCTCTGTGAAGGTCTAAAACACCAAGATTGCAAGCTACAGAGCCTGTGGTGAGTAGGAGGAGGCCTTCTTCTGGATAAACAAACAGCCAAAGTATGTTGCTTGGAGGACAAAATGTTGCTTATAAGGAAGGGAGCTCTTTAAAGGGATAGGCTTTTAAATAAAAGAAAGGCCAAAACTTTTAATTGGGCTTAGATATTGTTTTCTCTTTTAAGTATGCAGAGGTTGAGACCAGGACTAACTATGGTAACTTAACAATGGGGGTGTCATAGCGCAGAAGGTGAACCATTTGTGGCTTTGTCTTGAGACACATAAAGTCTCTCCGTCTCTCAATTAAAAATAATCAAATATGTCTATCATCCAAATATGCCCCCTAATAACCCAAGCAGTCATAGAATTATAGTAGTTTAGGACTATCCAAGTGAAGAGAATTGCTGTTTTAAAGCTAATACTCAAAATAGATGTTTTTCAACTCCAATAATAACTGATTATTGGCCAAAGTTTTTGGGAGTTGAAGTCCAAAACACTCAGGACACATCCACACAGGGTGGAAAACGTGTGCCCTCCTGGATTTTTACATGGGGCATCCAAACAATGCCTCACATCAAAATGCATTAATTTGCTACAAAGCAGGAAAATCATGCTTTGTGGTGAATTAATTTGATACTGGATTAAACCCAAGTCCTGGAAAACTTGGGTCTAATCAAGTCTACTCTAGTATGACCAGTTTCTGGACTGCCCCCTTGGAAGTCCTGGACAAAGCCCTCCACAACCCCCCCCCCCCCCCCCCCCCCCCCCCCGCCCCAGAAAAGCCTTAAAAAGAAAAAAAATTACTTACCCTGCTGGCATTTCCCTGCTGCCAGCCCTCTCTTGGCATGTAGAAATGATGCACTAGGAGAAGCGGGGGTGTAGGAAAAAAGCTCCTGACCCTCCCCCTTTTCCTGGTGTGTCATTTCTACACAGCGGGAGAGGGCGGGCAGCAGGAAAATGCCATCTGGGTATATCGTTTTTACTCTTTAAAGCTTTTCGGAGGGGGGATTTTGTTGGTGTCCAGGTGCCCTGCCAGAAGATCTGACAGGGCATCTGGATACCAGCACAGGAAAGCTTGGGATTTTTTCCTGGTGTGGGGACAGAAGTCCAGCCTGACCCGGGTTTTTTAAACCTGGGTCGGACCAGACTTTTCCACTGTCTGGAACCACCCTCAAAGGACTAGAGTTTGATAATCATTGATCTATAGAACCACTGATGTAAAGAAAAAAGATGCCTATATTTGTATCCCAGCTGATAAGGTAACCCTCTGAGGCCCTCTTCCAGATGTGCGTGCCCAAAGAGGTGAAGCAGGTGCTGAAATAAAGGACATGTTCAATGGGAGTGCCCTCCTAGTTGAACTCCCTTCCTAGAGATGCCTGTTAAGGATTTCACACCAAGGTTATACCAATGTAACTCTTAAGGATTACAGAAAAAGGGTCATAGCAGGTTTCCACACATGCCCTCATTAGCCAGGGAACTCTATGTGGGTGAGCAGAAAGCGCAGCAGATAAAGTGTGTAGTCAGCACAAAAGCCACATCTTAATCGCCCTCACAAAAACAGTGATGACATTTGTTCATATGAGTGCAGATTCAGTGAGAAGAAGGAAAGGGATTTATATCTGCTCAAAGACAACCCTGACCGGGCATACATAGAAGGGATTTGTTCATTTCAGGTTCTATACAGAGGGAATCATCATATTCTTGTCAGAAAAGAAAATGGTGGGTATTAACAACTGTCCCTCCTGTGGCATAAATCAAGCTGAAGGTGGCTCATTGTGACTGCAGCTGGCAGTCTAAAACTGATTCAACCAGGGTCTTAAAAAGGAGGGATAATTCATTTCACACCCTCTTCACATCTAGGCTAGATGAATGTGACCTCAACGCAGCTGGCTGCCAGCATTTCATCCCTGTCCTCAGCACCAGCCAGATACTAAGGAAGCTCATCTTGGACAGCAACAAACTGGGAGATGTGGGAGTGAAAGTGCTGTGTGAGGGCCTGAAACATCCACAGTGCCAACTGGAAAATTTATCGTAAGAGAGTTGGTTCCTTTCTACCTAAAATCATTAAAAAGCTTTCTCTAGAGCAACCTGTGCAGCTCAACAGCTTTGCAGATCATACCTTAAATTTCCAGTGTTTAACTGCTGCAGAATTGAACTGCAATTGTTGCAGTGTGATGGATGGAGACTGTGCTACATGTTTAAATCAGCCCTCAATGCCGGGAAATCATCACTATTTTCTTCTTTGTCATATAGCAGAACTGCTGAATTTATCACTGGCATAATATTATTTGAATACAATAATTTCTCACACATAGGATTTTTCTGGAACCAGAACAGAAAGTGGCAGTTGCATATGCTAGAGTATATGGGAGACAAATGCAATGCTTGAATTAAGTAGATATCATAATATTATATATAGATAGAAATGCAATACAAGTACAAGGCAGGCAGACGTTCCTGTAAAGTAATGAGTGGGACTTTTTATTTGGTTTGTTTATTGAAGAACTTACCCAAATTTGCCAATTTCCTTGTAAATAGGATGAAAACACTGAGATTGTTCTTAATGAGCGTGGAGGATGTAAAACTGAATGTTTTGTTTTTCCAGGTAAAATATTTTGAATGTTTGGCTCATAAATGGCTGGGTTTGCCTCCTGGTGTGTTCAGTTGTATTTGCGGTGGTAATGTAATTTGTGGAAGCTGATGGCTCTGAGGAGGACAGTGGAGCTGTGAATTCATTCAGATTTTAGACTGAACTTTAATGGAATGTCCCAAGGTGCTCTAGTTCCTCAAATAAGCTCCGCACCTTAGAGGGCTATTTTAAAGTTCAGTTGGAAATTTGGATTGGATTCATCTCCCATCCTTACACTTTCTTGGAGAGACTTCCCATCTTTTTGCATCAACATGGCAAATAGGTCTCATTTGGTCTTCTCCATCCTAGAACAATACAGAACTGCTGAACCATGTCCTTGGAGATGGGTAAAGTTTTTCTTCAGAACAGTAGGTTGATAAGATCAACATTTAAAGTTCCTTCCTAAACAAGAGAAAAGATCATACAATTTAAACAGTTTGAAAATTTGAAACATGAAAATGATTGATTTTCCTCCTTCCTTCCCTACATTTTTTGTGCATCACTTGCCTCATAGATTGAGAAAGCTACCCAATTTTGTTTTTTTGTGAAAAGTATTTGATGATCTTTTTGAAAATGTCAGAGGGAAAGACTGTTGTTTTGTGTTGATGCTGATTAAATAGCTCTTTAACATCAGAGGAAGAAATGTTAAGGGCTTAGAGTAGTGGTTCTCAACCAGTGGGTCCCCAATTGTTTTGGCCTACAACTCCCAGAAATCCCAGTCAGTTTACCAGCTGTTAGGATTTCTGGGAGTTGAAGGCCAGAACATCTGGGGACAACCCACTGGATGAGAACCACTGGCTTAGGGAAACCAACAAGTGCTGGATGTCACTGTGTCACTCCATTTTATCTTACAGACTGGCTACATGTGAGCTCAGCTCAGCTTGCTGTGGAGATCTCTCCTCTGTTCTCAGCATCAGTGAGACACTGACAGAGCTGGAACTGGAGTATAACAAACTGGAAGATACTGGACTAAGACTACTCTGTGAGGGACTGAAGCAGCCCAAATGCAAACTGGAAAAATTAGGGTGAGCAAAGAGCTGGCTTCCTTCAACCTCCATCTCAACTTATTGTTATGGTGTTGTCATGATTTGGTGTGTTCCAATAAAAAATGCAGAGAGCTGCAAAACAAGAATACCTGTAAGGGAAATTATAGAAATGAATTGATCACATAAGGCAATTTCAGTTAAGTATATTTGCATGCAGAACTGCCGTTTGTAAAAAAAAAAATCTTGAAAGATAACTTTAGCTCAAGAGAGTTAGGGCTGCAGCACCTCCACAAAAATGGAAAAAATGAATTAAAAAGCCACTCTTTTTTACCTGAGAGAACACCTCTCTAGCTACTTCATCACACTAGAGAATGAATCCACTTTAAATTTGGTTTCTACCTCCTGCAGAATTCAAGGGTTTGTAGTTTAGGGAGGAGCCTTTAACAATCTCACTAAACTACAAACCCCAGAATTCTGCAGGAGGCAGAAACTAGATTTAAAATGGATTTTTTTCTCTGTAGTGTTAATGTTTAGGTCCACAGGAAGCTGACTACAGAGTCATGCCAGAGGACCAAAAATTTCCTAGGGAGAACATATTAAGCAAATCTGCAGATAATCAAATTTGCAAAAGTTAAACCCACAAATGTGGAGGACTGACTTCTTTTGCACCAAAGAGACAACAGTTTTAATCAGCACACTGAGAGAAATTATAGAAAGAAAAGACAAAGGAAGAACAAGAAAATAGCATGAAAGCGAACAGGAATAAATTGTTCAGCATTTGTGTATCCTGATTAACTATATAGATTTTGGCTCTTAGTGGCAGATCAAGTTGTCTTGATGAATCACTCAACATTTTTTTCTTTCAGTATGAAAAAATATGACTGAAGTTGCTAAAACTTCAAAGAATCGTGTCACTATAGCCTCTAGGGAAAGAAAAGTCACCAATTTTCCCTTTCTTAATTCTTGATGAGACAGGGTCAAACCCCTAATAGAAAACCAATTGTTGATAACCACAAGATTTGGGCCTTTCTATGAGAGTAAGAAGATCAGTATTTCCCTCAACCCTCTTTTTTGGGACTAGAACTTATAGAGAAATGTTTATTTTATGTAAATGTTCCCCGTCCCCCCCATCCGCCCTTCAAAGGAAGATATAAGGATGGCAGGAAGGACAGCAGGAGGACCATTTCCTGGAACTGATAGGTATGTGTGTGGACCTGCTGACAGGTCCCAGGATTTTGGCCCTGTCTGGAAGCACCCTTTAGTGAGCTTTTTCTGTTTTCCTCAGGTTGGCAGGATGTGGCATTACAGCAGCCTCTTGTGAGGATCTCGCATGTGTCCTGGCAGTCAAATGGACTTTGAAACATCTTGATATTGAATATAACAAACTTGGTGACTCAGGAGTGAAGCTGCTGTGTGAAGGGTTGAAGCACCCGCATTGCAGGATGGAGACATTAAAGCAAGTAGCAAACTTGGTTTGTTTCTCATGGGTAGATGGCACAGCCAAGGCCTATGTTCTGGCACAATTGTCAGTACTCACACTCTCCATCTGTCCAAATTTGGCAGGGATTGTCACAATTAATTATCAGTCTTCTCACTTTTTAAACCATCACCATTTCTTTCTCCTCATTCCATCCCCCCCCCCCACTTGCGTGAAATTGTGTTTTATGTAAAACAAATCATGTTTTGCGTGAAACACAATTTGTGTGTACACTAAATCAAAAGCACCACTATTTCAACCAACCATCTAGACAATTTTGGAGCATTTCAGAATTCCAGAAAACAACAACAACAGCAACTTTATTTATATATCCTGCCACCATCTCCCCAAAGGGACTTGGGGTGGCTTACAGATGGCACAAATTGTCTAAAAACAAACATAAAAGTGAACACAATATAAAATACAACAAAATTAAACTCATGCACATATAGAAACATCAGCTCAAACTCAATCAAGCTGTGATAATAGATAATAAATAATAGATAATAGATCGGCCTGCAATACTAATCAAGCTCTTTCAACACTGTTCTGTCATGCCATAAGGAATTATGTTCTCTATGGGATGGGTAAGCAACTAGTGCCCTCCAAGGCATCACCACAAACAGTGTTGCTGCAACTCAATGATAAAATGTACCACCAGATATTGATAGCAACTAAAGAAATCCCATTTCAAGGAACTTGTTGCTTGCATTAAATGATTTCTAGTAACTCAGTTGTTGTAGGTTTTTTCAGGCTATATGGCCATGGTCTGGAGGCATTCTCTCCTGACGTTTCGTCTGCATCTATGGCAAGCATCCTCAGAGATAGTGAGGTCTGTTGGAACTAGGAAAAAGGGTTTATATATTTAGTAACTTGCCCCAAAATGTATATCTTGCTTAGAATGAAATGCTACTGAATTTGGAAAGTGTAGAATGGAAACAGGTAACTTCTGGGATGAAGGACTGGTCCACTAAATTGCTAAGGTTGTTCACCCATGTTCTGGAGAAACTGGTGTCGGTGCAAAAGTGTAGAATGAAAAAGAGATGGTGGGGGAACACTCAGAAATTCTTTCTAGATTTTGCATGGTCATAACTCAGCCTTTCTGTCTCCTGCAGCTTGTTCACTTGTGATCTTACAGCTACTTGCACTAAGGATCTTGCCTCCTTCCTTTGCTGCAACCAGACCCTTGCAGAACTGTTCCTAGGGGGTAACACACTTGGGGATTTGGGTGTGAAGCAGCTGTGTGAGGGACTGAAACACTCCCAATGCAAGATTAAAAAACTGTGGTAAGTGAGAGTCAGAGTCCTTCTAATTCTAATTGTGAGCACTGACATTGTGTTTTGTGACATGTTCAAGAACCGTACAGTTTTCCTGAGGAAGAGCTAATTGTCACCCTACTTGTCTTCCTTCTCTTGCACTCGGGTTGCTTCCCATCCCCACTCCTCAAAAAAACACATCACCATAGCCAGAACAGTCCAAACAGGTTTTCTCTTGTGCATTGCAGCTTATGCGACTCTGGAATCACAGCAGCTGGTTGTGTGGAGCTCTCTTCTGTCTTCAGCACAAGCCAGGTGCTGGAAGACATTGATTTATGGCAGAACACACTGGAGGACTCAGGACTAAGGTTGCTGTGTGAGGGGCTCAAACACCCAGACTGCAAGCTGGAAGTTTTGTCGTAAGTACATGCATGATGTGAAGCATATTTGCAACATCAGTTTTATCAATCATCACAGATATCTTTTCCTCAATGTCTCCCTGAATCACAAATAATTGTAAAAAAAAATAATCCAAAATGTTGTGCTTAATAAACCAGCAATAAAAAGCAATACTGGGAATGATTGGATTAAAATTCACTTCAACTGAGAAGATCTAGAAATATTGATCTGTTCTCCTGTCCCTCCCACAAACATAACATAAACTTGAAATTCTCCTCCATTTCATTCCATTAATATAAGAATCAGGCATGAAGCGGGGGGGGGGGGGGGGTTGCCCCCCCCCCCCAAATTCTCATGGTGGTTCGCGAGAAGGCCTTACTGGTACATTATTTAAACTGTTATGTTTATTCATATCATGATCTGATCACCATGCTCAATATATCCATGTGCATGGGGGAACTGGGATAATGATACAAAAGGTTTGCTAGGTAGACCCTCTTTCACTCAGACCCCCCCCCCCCCCAAACAAACTCAGCCCCCCCCCCAAAAAAAAATCCTGGCTACGGGCCTGATATGAATGGAAGATAGCAGAAATGTGGAGATAGAAAGAAATGTAGGAAAGAAAGCATAAGAAATCCACCAAAATTAAGAAGTAATGGAGTTCCCCAAAATGGGTGCCATACCCTGCAGTTTAAAGAGAAATCTTTAACAAATAGCAGCCATTCATTGTTCTTGTCCTTTCACAGGATGTGGGGCTGTAAGTTCACAGCAGCTTCCTGTGGGGACCTTCAGTGTGTTCTCAGCACCAACCAGAGCCTGAAGAAGCTGCAACTGGAGAATAACAAACTGGGAGATTTAGGGGTGATGTTGCTGTGTGAAGGACTAAAGCACCCCAACTGTAGACTGAAGTTAATAGGGTGAGTTTTCCTGCAAGTTTCCTTGACACTCAACCTTCCTTTGGGGAACTCATGCTAGATAATGAAAATGCCTTGCCATAGGAAACAGGATGAAGGAATTAGATTCAAGCAAGGACATTGGGAGATCTATGCTATCAACAGCATGTGATGGAGCTCCCAGTGGCACAATGGATTAAACCCTTGTGCTGGTAGAATTGCTGATCAACAGGTCAGTGATTCAAATCCAGGCAGAGTGAGTTGAGCTCCCTCTGTCAGCTCCAGCTCCCCATATGGGGACATGAGAGAAGTCTCCCACAAGGATGGTAAAAACATCAAACATCCAGGTGTCCCCTGGGCCACTAATTCTCTCACACTTGAAGCAACTTGCAGTTTTGCAAGTTGCTCCTGACACAAAAAAACAAAACAAAACAGCATATGATTGTCTTATCCAAACCTGTATACACAGACACACTTCCAAAATGAAAACTAGAGGTTTTTTGAAAGCCTAAAGGCAGTTGTGATGGACCACAGGAATCTTTTCTCTCTAAATGGAAATAAGAGGTTTTCCTTGTCAGAGAACAGGAGAGACTGGTGATTTGGATGAGACTCTCCACTTCCTTCCCCTATAAGATAGGGGCCAAGGATTCCCATCTCCTTGGCTATGAAAGATCACAAATAGCCAGATAAGGCTGTTTGCACTTCTGTCTTTTTCTATATTGTGTGCCCAAGGCAAGATTGGTCCTTTTAGAATAACCACACGTACACAATATGTACATTTGGAATAACAAAAAAGACCACAGCTTTATTGGCTACTACTGACAATGACTGTTGGCTGACCCAACATGTTGGCATCAACCAACCCACCTGTTGATTGATGTTCCTGGTGCTCTGGACGGTGACAGAACCCATGAAATGAGATAGGGAAAGTCCAGGTGATACGTACTTGCTTGGTCTTCTTTTCCTGCCATCAGGGAGTACTGCAGAGGCACTTGTCCCATTGCTGGTTGGGACTCCCCTTTCAGCTTTATTCCAGATCAAGGGCCCTACCACTCCCCTAAAGTTATAACAAAGATAAACAGCCATGAACAGCATTATGCAGCATGTCACATTAGAGGTGGGTGGGTAGATAGCAAGCTGGAAAGTGATTGCCTGGAGAGGTTCACAACATCTGATTTTTACACACATCCACCCCCAAACAGCTTATCCCCAGCTAGCCTATGAGTTTGAGTCATGAGATTCAAACTTATTGGCTGCCAGTCCACTCCACTCAGATCTCCTCAGGTTATAAGCCATGGAAATTCACTTGTTGACCTTGGGCAAGTCATACTCACTCAGCCTCAGAGCAAGGCAATGGCAAATCTTACCCTAAGTCAGAAACAACTTGAAGGCACAAAACAAATACACACACAACACATGTAAAATAAGTTTCCTTAAATTGAACTGGGCCCTTGGACTGAAAAGGTTCCCTACTTTTGATTTTATGTCACATACATTTTATAGTACTGTATATTAAAAAGGATCCTTACATTGTATAGGCTCCCTGTTGCAACTGGCAGGCATAAGCATTTGTCTTTTTTCTCATGTTTACAGACTTGATATAGAAGAACTGAGTGAAGACACAATGCAAGAGCTTAGGTATCTGAAACGGATGAAACCTGAACTGATCATAGACACATAGATGGGGCAGTCGTGATGCTGGAAGGCTGAGATGTGGACAACTACAGAGGTCCAGAGCACCTTTGCTGAAGCATGTCAGCTACTGACAGGGATGAATAAGGAAGAAACCAACATTCAGACTAACCTTGTAATGAGCATCTGAATAAAAAGCCAAACTTGGAAAGCAAAGCTCTTTTGGATCTTCATAAATTCTATCCCTTGTACCTCTTCATAAGACTCCTTTCTTTTATTTTTGCAGGTTTCCTTATTGATATAGGAACTAATTGTCCTTTGTTTGCTAAGCAAATAATAAATCTAAATGCTTTTTATTCAACCTTTTGTTCTGTGTGGTTTGATTTATGTTGTGGGTGAATCACATTCATTTTCACTGATGATGGGTTGTTCTTGGCTTTTAAATAAGGAAGAGGGAAACTCCAGGAGCCCAGAGGTCAGACTTCCTACTTCAGGACCCATGCTGGGCTTTCTCCATCCCCCCCCCCCAACTTTAGTGGCTGGATCCTACCACTAATTGTATGAAAACATATGGGGGGGGGGGGTAACCAATTTTGAAGAAGAACTGTACCCTCCCCCCCCCCAACAAATGTGGGAAAGACACATGGGTTTGCTTGTGTGAAAATGGGCATGTAAGGCCAACCTGAATCCCATGGCAAACCTTCCCATCGGCTGACAATGGCCCATCCTTGGTTGGAGCTCATTCTTAGAATGAATATGTCATGCCTCACTTATACAATACCAATGAAAGGGGATCCAAATCCTCTTTATTTCATGGTATGGTGGGTGTATAGGATCCCTTTTCATTGGCTCATCATCTTACTTTTTTTGGCTCATTATCTCTAACAGTCAGTGTAAAGCTCCCCTACCACCCAGTCCTGTGTTACTTTCATCCCCAGGAGACTGGTTCCAAGTGCTTGGAACATACTAGATGATGTTGGAAATAGCAGCCTTCTAAAAATCTTGAATTATTCGGCAATCTTTTTACACTAAGTCACCTTCTACACTGCCCTATATCCCAGGATCTGACCCCAAATTATCTCCTTAACCCAGATTATATAGCAGTGGGGACTCATATAATCCTGTTCAAAGAAGATAATCTGGGATCAGATCCTGGGATATAGGGCAGTGTAGATCCAGCCCAAGTTCTCTACCTGTTGCTTTCAGCCATGTAGCAGTTCATGCAATGAAAAATGTGATTAAGGGCTTTGTTGATATTGTGTTGCCTTTCAAAACCAAATTACTTCTTCCTTTTCAGGGTGAACAATGAATCAATAAGCACTGGAGATGACAGAACAGATGCAGACCCATAGAGTGCTGGTGAAATGTAAAGTGAAAAATAAGCTTGCAATACAAAAATAATCTATAATATCACCAAGATACTTTTATGAGATGTGCCAAATGATCTCTAAAACAAGCCACTGTTCTTTCAAAATGAGGGAAGCAAAATGAGGGAAGCAACAATCATTTATACATTCCACGGTAGCATTTCAGAGTTGATGGACACAAGAACATTTTATACAGTTACAAAATAAAATCAGCCAACAAAAGGGAACTTGTTTTACAAAGATCAGCAGCTATACTGCTTACGGAAGCGGGATACAGGGAAAAAGCTACCTCACTCTTCAAACGGCTACACTGGTTTTCAATTAATTTCCAGGTGCAATTCAAGGTGCTGGCTTTAGCCTATAAATCCCTACATGGTTCAGACCCAGTCTACCTGAGGAGCCGCATCTCCTCCTATCAGTCCGCACAAGCCCTAACATCACCAGGAGAGGCCCTTCTCATGGTCCAACCATCGTCACAAGTATAAAATAAATAAATAAATACTGGGCTATCTAGTCTACTGTCCATAATACAGTTTTTATCATCTACGTAAAATGATGTTCACTCGAATTGTTGTATGAGGATTATACACTTATCTCTTCCTTTTTATAAAACAAGTATCTTTGCTATATGGTCTGCATGCTATTTATGACGGTTTTTGGATAGTGAGATTCTTTTGCTGAAATCTAGCTCACCAATGCAAAGCTGAATATATAGCAGACATTTCTTGAAATAAGTAAAGCAACCGATGTATTAATAATACTAAGTAAAATCTCACATCATGAAGGGATACAGCTGCTGTATCTAATCTCAATATAGAGCATGAGACATTCACCTTGAGTTAAATAGATAAATTGCTACAATCTAACAATTAATACCATAGGAAAGAGAGGCTGAATAAGTACTACATGAGGTTGACATCCAAATTAAAGAACAACGTAAGAAAATAACCAACCCCTTTTAATGAAGAGATATTTCATATAGGGCTTAAATGTATGAAAACTCGGTCCATTACTTCTGCCTGTTTTTAAGGGTTTTCTCTAAACAAAAAGTTTTTAAAAACAATAACTATAAGGGATGAGAAGAGAAAGGATGAAAACCTATTTGTTATAGGGAAACAAATGCAGTCAGATTCACTCAAAAGTATGTTTGAACCATAAGACAACAGCCAGAATATTGGTTGCTCAAATTTGCATATGGATTGAATCACTAATGACAGTGGAATAGATTGTTAAGATTGCAAAGCTAGTCCAAACTACCAAATTAATGTGGGTCTTAAAAAATAAGACAGTTTTGAAAGTCTGGAAACAATTTATGGATTTTGAGTAATTATAAATTAATGTAATAATCTGTGGTCATGATTTTTAAAAAATATAATAGAATTATTTAGCTAGATCTGTAATGGTGGAATAATAATGGCTTCCCCCTTCCCCATTTACTTTTACATTAATTACAGTCATGGTGGGAGTGGGGTGTCAGAGCCTTACTATATCCTAGTTATACACATTCTCTCTCTCTCTCTCTCTCTCTCTTTGTCTCTTTAACTTTTGAATGCATATTACTTTGATTGTAAATTACATTATTTGTATCAAGAATTAGTAAAAAATCATTTAAAAGTTTGAACTTGAGCCAATTGAACTGGCTGTCTACAATTAACACAATTTTTGCCTCATTAAATCAAATAGAAGAAAAATCCCCCAAGAATTCTTATCTAAGGCCAATTCTACACTGCCATATGAAAACCAGATTATCTGCTTTGAATTGGATAATATGGCAGTGTAGACTTGGATAATCCCATTCAAAACAGATAATGTGGAATATCTGCTTTGATAATCTGGATTATATGGATATGAAGAATGGGCCTATGATATATTGTAACAACACAGGCTAAGCACCCATCTACATTGCCATATAATCCAGTTTATCAAAACAGATAATCTACACGATCTCCTTTGGACTGGATTAGCTGAGTCTACACTGCCATATAATCTGGTTCAAAGCAGATAATCTGGTTTTATTTTACAGTATAGAAGGAGCATACATCTCTCTTACCTAGAAATCTAAAAGACTCCAGGAACTGAAACTTTTTGCTGCTTGTCCAAAACTCAAAGGTTCACATTATTCAGCAAGAAATTCTTGCTGAATAAGGGGTTGCACAATTCAGGGGCTCCAAATGTTGTTGTAGAAAGTGAAATGTCAGCAATTGTTTCAAGACAGGTTTCAAGACAGTCCCCCTCTGCAAAAAAATAAAAGCACTTCCTCATGCCCTTATTTACAGAACTTTTTGCTCTCTATATAAGGGGCACAAAAACCTTGATTCAGAAACTAATCCCTGTAAGTAGCCAGGTCAGCGCTGCAAGACAAGATGGCTGGCTGGATGGGCTTTCACCTGGCTGTGACCTGCTTTGCTGTCATATCTATGGGGAGAGGAAGTTTTGGAGAAGACACAGAAGTCAGCTGCTGTGCACGTGAGTCAGACTGGGAGAGATGGGAAAATGATGGTTGTTTCTCATGGATAGGAGTCAGATCACTGGAGGAGAGGGCTCTCATACCTTTCAGATATGTGCAGAAAGGGAATATGGACATTGCTCAAACTGCTGTAGCAATTTCGCAAGAATGCTTTCTTATGCCTCCAACTACTGAGGACAATGTTTTTCATTCCTAGAATACATGTGAGAAATGGATAGTATAGAACTGATGCAAACCCATCATTGTTTGCTGCACTTCACTTAAGTTCATCATGTACAATTTTGTTTGTGCTTTCTCACCTCGTTGCAGAGCTGAAGGGCTTATCGCAGTGTGGAACGGACAAGGTCTTTTTCCAAGGCCAGCCAGGCACCCCAGGAATACCCGGCATCCCAGGAACAAATGGGTTGCCTGGTGTGAAGGGAGACCTCGGCCCCCAGGGGCCCCCAGGTGAGACAAGGACCTTCTGGACCACAGATCTGATGCAAACCAGAGGCAGCATTGTTTTTCTTTTCTATGTTTCATCACTAACAGATTAATATTAACATCAGACATAAGGTGCTTCTGTAAGGGAGAGGTTATTAGCACTTAAAATGAAAACATAAGGTGCACTTTAAAAAAAATGTAAATTACAATTGGAATTGCATTGTTTTTGACACACATATAAAGTAACAGAGTGATTTGAATGGAGAAAACTCAACTCCCAATATTTTCTAATGTACTCCATTACAGAAAAGGTGGTGGGGAGGGGTGGGGTGGACTGCTTACAAAAAAAGGGGAATGAATGTCTTCTAGAGGTGTTTCAAATGTTCTCTGAAAGGCCACTGATCTCTTCTTCTCAGGTGAGAGAGGCTCTGCTGGAGCACCTGGGAAAGCTGGACCCAAAGGAGAGAAAGGAGATCAAGGTGAGTCCTGCACAACCTCATTTGAAGAAGTGGAAGAGGGCTCACAGGTGAAGCTTGGCCCATGCGGTCACCATCAGGCCAGGAATGAACAACTTCAGAAGCTTCAAGAATTGGGAAAAGGACCAGATATTTCTTGGATCAAGATTAGGGTTTATTCAGGCTTGCAGAAAAGAAAAGAAATCAAAAGCTCACATGTGTGGGGTTGCGTAGCCTAGTTGTAGGAGGAACAAATGTTTTGATCGTTCACCTTATCTCTAGCAGCTAACATCATCTCATGGCCTAGCTGACTAATGCGAAATTTACAACTCTTTCTTTGCAACATATATGGTCAAAGGTCATTAATGGACTCAGTTTGAATAGTTCCCTATTGCCTAAATCAGGAGATCTCTCACAAAAAGCACCCTCTGTCCATGCACTGACCAGCCCAAGGAACTGGCCAATCTCAGAGCAATGTTCAATGCAAACCTATATTCGACTTTATACTTTAGTTTATTAAATTTATCAGGAAAACAGGGCCAGAGTGGAAAGGTTTTGCTTATGCTTACCTCTAATTCCTCAGGTTAAATAAAATAAAGTACTGTACCACTAGGGGGTAGCAGTGGCACAGTGGGTTAAACTTCTAAGCTGCAGAACTTGCTGACTGGAAGGTTGGCAGTTCGAATCCATGGGACGAGGTCAGCTCCTGTTCTTAGGAGCTGCCAACCTAGCAGTTTGAAAACATGTAAATGTGAGCAGATCCATAGGTATCACTTCAGTGAGAAGGTAATGGCACTCCATGCAGTCATGCTGGCCACATGACCTTGGAGGCGTCTACAAACAATGTCAGCTCTTTGGCTTAGAAATGGAGATGAGCACCACCCCCAGAGTCGGACCCGACTAGATGTAATGTCAAGGGGGAACCTTTACCTTACTATACCACTATACAGAGCACTTGAAACTGCTCTCATTCTTATTTTAATTCTGACACAGGAACCACATTTATTCATTCAGTAATGGCTTTTCTCTTCCTACAGGAGAAGCATGCAGTCTTGCTAGCTGTCAACATCAAGGTATGTCTTGTCACCACTGCCATCTTCAGCATGAACCCAACCTTGGGTGGGTGCATGGATTGTATGGCTGTGCTCCCCATAGACAAGGCTGAGGGTTATAACCTTTTTTCACAAATAATCAGGCATATTGTACCACCAAGTTCAAAGCAAATGAGAAAATTTATTGAAAAAGGATTTAAAAAATAAAGAAGGAAAGTTACCTCCACAAGAAGAATTGAAATTTTGGACAGATGACATGTAAAAGCTGTGGCTTGGGAGCGGGGGAGAAAATATGTATAAGCAGAAAAATAACACTAGATACCAAAAGTATGGTAGGTTGTATAGAATAATATGTATGTGCTGTAAAACAAATAATGTATAACAAATGTATTAAACCACGATAAAATAATAAAAATTATTATTAAAAAGAAGCAGATGAGATTCATTAGGAATTCATGTGGACCATTATTTATTTATTTATTTATTTATTTATTTATTTATTTCATATCCTGCTCTTCTCCCAGTATAGGAGCTCATGGCAGTTAACAATTAATGTAAAACAATGATAACTAAAAACAATACAAGGATATAAAATATAAATATAAAACATTAACAAAACAAATAATTTTTACTATTAAAACCACTGAACATTGAAACATTACATTAAAAACACTTAAGAAAAATTTAAAATCTCAGTCACTCAGTATTATAAGCCCAACACTTGGAAATTTGTAAATAACTGATGGCAGAGAATATATATATATATATATATATATATATATATATATATATATATATATGAAAGGTGCGGCTATCCTGAACTCTCTAGGTATCGAAGTCTGGGAGCAGCCGCTGAGAAGGCCCTCTCTCTTGTTTGCATCAAACAAGCTCGAGAGCATGTTTTCCAGGATCCCTCTGCATATAGCAGATTAGTCTTTCAAAGACATTTTGTTCTCTCATTGTTCAGCCACATGCAAGATATTAAAAATGCAGCTCTTTGTCCATGTCAAAAGTGATGCTTAGGTCACAAGTGGAGGTTTATGAATAGGAAAGTAACACTGATACCATAAGGCAAAAGTTTTTAAGCTTTCATTCCTTTGAGAAAACACTCCATTTTAACTGATCTCCTAAACAATATCACAGAATTTGAGATATGATTAAAAAATTAAAAGTAACTGCTATTCAAGAAAAAGAAAGATAAACACACACAAGTGATTTTTAGGTATTTAAAACTACAAAAACTACACAAGTACATATTATCTATTATTATAACACTACAACCAAGTGACTATTGCAAATAACAAAACAGAAAAAATACATAAAACATGCATGCACATGCATAAATACAAAAAAAACCCCACCGATTTTTAAAAGAATCTACAGACTCCCCCCTCTATCTGATGGTTATTGTCACTAATTGCAGTAGTCGACTCCCTTTAAACAATATTATGGAATCACACCTCTACTTTTAGCAATATTCTACTAAGGGTGTTGTGTGGTTTCCAGGTTGTATAGCTGTGTTCTAGCAGCATTTTCTCCTGATGTTTCACCTGCATCTGTGGCTGGCATCTTCAGAAAATCTGATGGTAGTAAAGCAAGTCTACTAATATTCATAAAACCTACAGTTGACAGATGCCCCATTTGTTCTGGTGAACAAATATTGAACACGTCTCAATTTTTCTTAAAGTTAGTCATTATTTTCCCTTAGTCAATGTAGGGTGAACCCACTATTCTGGGAGCAAACATCAGACTGGTTCCAGAATGGTTACCACAGCCACTGCCACCAATCCACACCAGCTATTGCAGAGGCAAAAGGGAGTTCTGATTGCTCAGGAGTGCAGAACTCATTTCGGTCAGAGAAGCAGCTTAATTCCTAGAGAGGATGCAGCCCTCAGTAGTTTAAGCAGAGAGCTACACCACTTCTAGAAATTGTTCACCCCTATGGGAAACCTGTTGCTTTCCTTATGTATATTGGGAGATTGCATTTACCAGTTCAGACTTTCCTCCATGATATTTCATCTAGAGGCAGGACCCAAAGATTGCAAAGAGCTTCTGGAGCATGGAGAAACACTGAGTGGTTGGTATACAATCTATCCTGCCATTGGGAAAGCAATGAGCATCTTCTGTGACATGGAGACTGATGGAGGAGGCTGGCTGGTAAGCTTGAACATATGTTGCAAAACTGCTATGTGTCATAGATATGGCCACCATCTACACTGACAAACATGTAAGGAGAAGGAAAATTCACTTAAGATTCCCAAAGGAAAATATGGTGTATACTGCCTGAATCCCAGAATATTCACCTGAATCAATTGTCATATGAGTGAGAAGATGGGAGCCATGAGGGTATGTGCAGACCATGGCTACAAAGAGCAAGGCTGGAGTACTCCAGCATCACTCTTTGTGACCCATGTACATTGTGCTCCTAGTGTCAAATGGAGGGTGTTGGGCTGATGTTCAGCCTCTGCCTTAATCTCATCAATGTCTCATTTTTGTTTCTGTTCTTCTGTTCCTTGATTGGTCTAAAAGTAAAAAAAATCAAGAGTATTTCCTCTTCTCCTCTGATCAGCACCACCAATTTATTAGGCTGAAAGAGTCACTTGTTAAATGTCATCTACGTAACACTTATACCACTGCATCACATGCTTCTTTTTCCTAGATAGTGCCCATGATGCCTCATTGTTCTAAGAGAGGTCTCCTCAAAGTCATTAAGCCAGCCTAAGATAACCCATCTAGCACTGAATTAAAAAACAAACAAACGATTGATTCTCAGTAAAAATGCTAAAATATACATTCCCTCTTTCCCCATCCAGATTTTCCAGAGGCGACAGGATGGATCAGTAGATTTCTATCGTGACTGGCAGTCCTACAAAAATGGGTTTGGAAACCAAGCATCAGAATTTTGGTTGGGCAATGATAAAATCCATCTTCTCACAAGTTCAGGTAATCCCATGTTGTTGTTGCTGCTTGTGGCAAATAGAACAGTATTCTTAGGCTGCTTAATATCACTACATTAATCTTTCATTTGCCATATTTTCAGATTTAAATTACACACTTAACCTAATGTGAAGCCTGGAGAGAGATTCTCTGTATGCAAAATGATCATAAACACGGTCCAGGGGTTTCTCTTGCAGACAATACTTACTCTATGACATTTCTTACCAGGAACACAGCAGCTGCGGATTGATGTGAAGGACATGAATGACACTAGAACTTATGCAAAGTACACTAGTTTCAAAATCTCAAGTGAGGAAGAAAATTACACCCTGTCAGTGGGTTCTTATGTAGATGGAAACATGGGTAAGTTACACTTTTGAGCATGGAGGATCTGTATAATAGCTACCAATAAGGATATGGAGAGAAATTTTAGTGCAGCTTATTCAGGTATCATTGCCCTTGATGGATGTGTACTCTCTATCCTACATAAATTTGCCCAAACTTTTATTAAAACATCATGCTTAGTGAACTCTATAATTGCATTTTGTATATAGAAATGTGTATGAGTGATTTTRTGGCTTAACTGTTGGGCCAGGGTTTGGATCGTCATGGAAACCCACTGGGCGGGTCACGCTTTCTCAGCCTCAGAGGAAAGCAATAGCAAGCATCCTGTATAAATATTTCTTAAAATATCATGTATTGTGAATTCAATCATTACATTTTGCATATGGAAATGTGTGTCAGTGTGGTTTCATGGTTTGAATGTTGGATTAGGATTTTGGGAGATCAGGATTTGGATCCTTGTGGAAACTCACTGGATGATCTTGGGCAAGTCATACTCCCAGCCCAAGAGGAAGGCAATATCCACTCTCCTCTGATCAAATCTTGTAAGGAAATCCCTACAATGGCTTTACCATTAGTGAGGGTTGACTAGCTCAAACATAATAACATACTGTAGAGTTTCTTTTTAGCTGCAATTGTATGAGAAAAGTGTCCGCTGAGAAGGAGACCTAACTTTAGAAGCTTCCCTCTCTCCAGCGAAAACTGGAGAACCTTATGAGGTTATGCCCTGCTAACAGTAGAAGCACAATGTCTGGAGATTGATGTTGTAGACGTATCCTCTGGATGTGCTGAAGAAATCCCCAGGAGCCCAGATGTGCCCCCAACAGAATGCTAGGGCAGATAACAATTGGGTTTTTATTATAAGAACACAATCTGAAGTGGTTCCACCACTCACTTACTTGGAGATCACTAAGTACTGCTTTTCAGCTGATTTGATCAGGTGACTCTCAAGTTCTAAAGTCAGTACTTTATTTGGTCTATTGTTATTTCATTCTAGTCTGTAACCCATTGTAAGAAGCCCTAGTGGCCAGAATCAATAGTTGTATGAATACACATTGGCTGGCATCCTTTTCAATATTTACTATAGCATAAACTGCATGTACAATATTAAAGAATGATCATCTTTTGTTTGAAAAACTGAAATATTCCACAATCTGAAACTTTAGGAGCCCTGACATGATGTCACAAGGTGTACAACAGAAAGTTTATTCAACATTGTTGCACCCCAGCCAGGATTCACCTTGCCCTCAAAATCTCTAGATAAAATCTCTAAAGTGGTAATAAAACTGTGTATTAAGAAAAGTACATATAAACTCACCATAAGAAATAAGAGCTGTACATGCAATAGATGATGGAGAAAATGTGTTGTTTATTCATTCAGTCGCTTCTGACTCTTCATGACCTCATGGATCAGCCCATGCAAGAGCTCCCTGTCAGCTGTCACCACCCCCAGCTCCTTCAGAGTCGAGCCAGTCACTTCAAGGATAACATCCATCCATCTTGCCCTTGGTCGGCCCCTCTTTTTCCTTCCATTTTCCCCAGCATCATTGTCTTCCCTAAGCTTTCCTGTCTGCTCATGATGTGGCCAAAGTACTTCATCTTTGCCTCTAATATCCTTCCCTTCAATAAACAGTTGGGCTATATTTCCTGAGGTATGGACTGGTTGGACCTTCTTGTGGTCCAAGGCACTCTCAGAATTTTCCTCCAGCACCACACTTCAAAAGCATCTATCTTCCTTCGCTCAGCTTTCCTTATGTTCCAGCTCTCACATCCATAGGTTACTACAGGGAATACCATTGCTTTGACTATGCGGATCTTCATTGCCAGTGTGATGTCTCTACTCTTCACTATTTTGTTGAGGTTGGTCATTGCTCTCCTTCCAAGAAGTAAATGTCTTCTGATTTCCTGGCTGCAGTCATCAAACAATAAGGCAATCCAAACTGGCAATAGGGGAAAATACTCCAAAGACAATAATCCAAACAGGTCAAATCTGTTCAATATAACAAAATACAGGAAAAAACCAGGAGCAAAACATGAGCATAATCCAGGAAAACAAAAATCTCACCATGAACATGAACATGAATCCAAAAGCAAACTTCTTAAAATATGAATATAAACTCTCATGATCTAAAACCCAAAACATGAACTGGAAACTACTAGGTTTGAGATCCTCACTGCTTTGCAGCATTGCCTGATCTGAATTCTCAAAGAGACACTTTTCTGATTTAAGGACCTCAAAACCTGAAGGCATTCTTGTGACATTGACTCCCTTGCCTGTGAGATTTTAGATGCTCTTCCTTCTCACAGAGTCTTTGCAATCTTTTCAGTTTCATTGATTCCTCTCTAAGATCACGCTTGATAGGCCTGTCGAGCACAGGTGTTCTTTCCGGTGAGCTTTCTCACCCATCCACTTTGTTATCTGGGGTTGCTATGCTACCAGTAAGCAAAGGGTCTCTATCAATCCCTACATCTCCCTGTGTGCTGAACTCCAACACAGTTTCACTTTCAGAATCTTGATCCAAAATCCCCTCATTCAAAAAACTATCACCCACTCTCTCCAGCTCTGAAATACCAATCCCCTCATCTTCATCTGGCTAAACCACAACAAGCATCTCCATGAGGAGGATTGCCTGTCAGCTCCCTTCAACTGCAATATGTAGAGTGCCATACCTATGGGGTTTGGTCCCAAGGCTCCTTTATCAGGAGAAGAGCAGGATATAAATGAATATGTATTGTCGAAGGCTTTCAAGGCCGGAATCACTGGGTTGTTGTAGGTTTTTTTCGGGCTATATGGCCATGGTCTAGAGGCATTCTCTCCTAACGTTTTGCCTGCATCTATGGCAAGCACCCTCAGAAGTAGTGAGGTCTGTTGGTCTGTCTCACCCTGGTCATTCCACAGATGTATAAACCCTTTTGCCTAGTTCTAACAGACCTCACTACCTCTGAGGATGCTTGCCATAGATGCAGGCGAAACGTCAGGAGAGAATGCCTCTAGTCTAGACCATGGCCATATAGCCTGAAAAAACCTACAACAACCCTATAAATGAATAGCCACCTAGCCACAAGAACAGGGATAGGGCCCTAAGAAAGCTTAGGAGGAACTAAATATTGAATGCATATCTAACACCATCTCCATTAGGTTGAAATAAGGGATATGATTCTGAGCAGTCCAAGAGATTATATTTGATTTTCCCTTTTTCATTCTCTTTTAGGTGATTCATTTTCAGGACACAGGGGCCTTGCATTCTCCACACGAGACAGGGACAATGATGTCCGCGAATCAGGAAGCTGTGCTGTGTTGTATAAGGGAGGCTGGTGGTATGGTAAATGCCACTCTTCCAACCTGAATGGCCTGTACCTCAGAGGGGAACACACCTCTTTTGCTGATGGCATCAACTGGGCCGCTGGAAAGGGATACCGCTATTCTTACCAATATGGGGACATGAAAATTCGACCTCAGTAAATGAAATATCTCCCTCTTCAGACTATTCTATAGATATGGTCCTTAAATTTACTGGTAGATTTTGTTTTTAAGTGTGTGCCTAACAGAGCTAATGTTGAATCCTGCCACTTGAAATATTGGATGCAAAGCCTTTAATATCCCCATACAGTGAGAATGTAGGTGAGCACTCTCTTTTTAACTTTTACATGGAATCTCTATGTGAGACAAAGGGACAACCATAGTTTGATTGAAAAGGGGTTATTTGATGGTGATGTTTGCTCAGTTGTACCTTGTGTTGGGTTTCATTTTGCCCAGCTTGAGACACTGCCTGCACTGGAAGCTATCTTCCAATGAATATGAGTTGGCCACTTGCTTAGAATACACACAAACACATATATCCAATACTGTAGAGATCTTGGACACAAGAATTATATAGAATTGGGGCAACTGCTTTTTAAAAACAACAAAATTTCAATTTTTCAAAAACCCCATTCCTTAATTTATGGCAGGAGAAGCAAAACTATGACTGGGTCTAAAGCTTAAATTAAGGAAACATTGTGAATGCATACATAGTTAAGTTTGAATTGGTAATTAAGTTTGAATATATGTACATTTGTACTTGAAGTCATTTTGATATCATTTTGTCAATTTTGGATTGGAGACGTGGGGAAAGATGTGTTTTGCTGAAGGACTTCTCTCTTAACAAAGCTACCCTGATCATCAAGCGAGCTCAGGATGGCCTGGCAGTTAACCATTTCTGGGTCTTTCAACTTGTTTCAATTTGTTTTTTTTTTTAATTTCTTAATAGTTTAATATTCTGTAGCCTTTCTTTTTTTTTTTAATGTCAAGTGTTTAAAATTGTTGAATTGTGTTTAATGTACATTTCTTTGAAATTTCTAGGTAAAGGACAAGAAATGGAATTTTAAAAATTAAATTAATGAATGCTGTCTGAAGTGACTATTCCCCAGCCTCCTATTGACACTGGTCTGGGCAACTGCACTGCCAAAGGGGAAAATGGGTTTCTGCCCTTCTAGCAAGGACTATTTCTTGCAGCAAGGCTACTCAGATTACAGGCTCACAATGTGGGGCTGTGGGTAGAGAAAGAGAAATAGTAAAACAAGAAGGCATGTCCGTTATTCAAAATATGGTACATCAGCACCTCAAAGTAAGGGGAAAATCCACAAGAGTTCATGTTTGCTAGAATGACAGGATGAAGATCTCTCTGCAAACATTACTGAAGCCCTCACTAAGTTTTTGATGTTCTGTACACAGATTTCAACTGTGATACTGATAAGATCCTATGTGACTAGACAGAAATTTGTCCAGAGACATTGTGGTTATTATTTTTTAGATCTCAGACCTGTGATTTGGTTCTACAGTAACATTCTAAAAACAAATTGATAATTGAGGGTCACCTCCTGAAACATTGTAAAATATTGCTGGCCTCCACGCTTAAAGAATGCTCTCGCCTACACTTGAGGCCAAACTAATGTGATGGGAACAGGGGCTTCCCAAATTTTAAGTGCAGAACTCAGCGAAATTTAGTCAATGTGATGAAGTGGTATGTGAATAAGAGATATGTGACCAAAAAGATTTTCCAGTATGATGATGGACAATCTCTTAAGGGTGGAGAGGTATAACTACAGGGGGGAAACAATAACAAAGAACTATAAAATACAGAAATAGGTTGTTACGGTATGACGATGCATACAGACCAGCAGAACATGAGTCCCTTGTATATTCAAAAAAGAGTAACACATGTAGAAGAAATGCAAAACTTAAACTTTACTCTTGTGCAGTAGAATTCACGGAAAAAACAGCAACTTCAACACAAACCTTCTAGTAATAATACAGTCTCAGTTCCTCTGGAGTATCAAACTCAAGTATGGCCCTTGCATTTAATTCATGTACACTGAGCCCCCTTCTACACTGACCTAACTATAAGGGATGAGAAGAGACAGGAATGTATAGGATGAAAACTTATTTGTTACTGGGAAACCTATGCAGTCGGATTAAATCAAAAGTAAACTTGAATCATGAGACAGCAGCCAGAATATTGGTTGCTCAAATTTGTAAAGAGATTGAAGTACTAATGGAAGTTGAATGGATTGTTAAGATTGCAGGGCTAATCCAAACAACCAAATTAATGTGGGTCTTAAAGAATAAACCAGTTTTGAAAGACTGGAAACCATGTATGGATTTTAAGTAATTATAAAGTAACATAATGATATGTAATCGTTTTAAGAAATTTAATAGAATTATTTAGCTAGATCTGTAATGGTGGAATAATAATTGCTTTCCCCCCTTTTACTTTTACATTCATTACATTCAGGGTGGGGGTAGGATGCCAGAGCCTTACTATGTCATAGTTATATATCTTCATTCTTCGTCTCTCTCTCTCTTTTCTTTCTGTCTCTTTAATTTTTGAATGTATATTACTTTGATTGTAAATTATTTGTATCACGAATTAATAAAATCATGTAAAAATGTAAACTCGAGCCAATTGAACTAGCGATCTACAATCAACATGATTCTTGCCTCATTAAATCCAATAGAAGAAAAATTCCCCAAGAATTCTTATCTAAGGCCCCTTCTACACTGCCATATAACATCCAGATTATCTGCTTTGAACCGGATTATGACAGTGTAGACTCAGATAATCCAGTTCAGATATGGATTATCTGATTTGATAATCTGGATTATATGACAGTGTAGAAGGAGCCTATGTGTAGTGAAATCTACCTTTTAGGCGACCAGGCCGAAGCCTGATTATCAGTAGCTGTCATCTGGAAAGACAGGCAGAAGCAGGAGGAGGAGTCAAGCCGACTCCTGATTGGTTGGAGCAATTAGGGGAGGAGTCGGTTGAGAGAGGGAAAGAAGCTGTCAGTTTTTGACAGAGAGAGAAGTGTCTTGACATCAGACACAGAAGGATAGGATTTTAGGAGAGGAAGCTAGATAGAGTTCTGACAGGGAAGAAGAGTTTTTAAAGTGAGCCTTAAGATTAGGGAATAAGGTTGAGACAAAGGCTAGGGTTTTACTGTGTTAAGAGGACCAGTAACAGAGAGTTTTGTCTTATTAAACTTAGGAGAAGTTTAAGATATCTTATTGCCCTGTGTGTGAGACAGACAGGAGTCTGTTCTCTAAGAGATACTGTTTCTAAGAATAGAACAGTGTGTTTAAGGAAACTCACAGGTTTAAAAGCTTTATGGTCAGTAGTAGGGCTGGGCGGTTTCGTTCGTTAATTTCGTAATTGGTTAATAATTCGTTATTTTTCTTGATAACGAAGCGATAACAAACCATTCAGGAGCAACTAAAAAACAAAACGAATTTTTAAAGCTATTTCGTAATTGTTTTGTAATTGTTTCGTTATTATTTCCGTATGTCTGGTGCAAGTTTTATAGTTGTTTCCCTCCCCTCTCCCTGGTTGCAAGCGGTCGGCATTTACCCCACTTCCGGGTCCCTGGCCTCTGCTTAAGTGGATCAAATTCTCCTCTCCTCCTGTCATCACCTCACCTCGTTCCTCACTCTGGCCTGCGTGCATTGGGCAAAGAGACACAGCAGTGCAGCACTCAGAGACCTGCCTGTTGCCTGCCTAACCTCTTTCCTTCTCCAGGTTAAAACTATTATATTTATTATTATTAT